GTATTATATATATATATATATATATATATATATATATATATATATGCGCGCGCGCGCGCGCGTGTGTGTGTAATTTAATAAATATTAAATAAATACTAAATAAACATTAAATAAATATTTAAAAAATGTTAAATGAATGTTTGATAAATGTTTTTTTTTACATTTATTTACAAATGAAGAATAAATGTAATAAAAAGATTTTTTTAACGTTTAATAAACGTTTTTTTGCTATAATTTTCAAAAATTAGAAAAAAAATTGTTTTAAACATTTAAAAAACATTGTCAATATTATATACGATATCTTCAATATTCTAGCCACTCGAGTGGCTAGTTCTGGCTTGTGTAGTGCCTGCATAGTGAGGGCATGTTGTTCTGTGTAGGATGCTCGATCTTGCAGCACTGTATATATTTCGCATTCACGTTCAGTTAGTCAGTTGCTCACGAGTAATCGTACAAGGCGGATCTATGTCCGAGTTATTTTTAGTCCAAGTTTCCGCGTACGACGCTCCGGTGTTTCCTTAATGTGGCTGATCAGACGCGCTGCACATCGTTTTATTCAAGTTGAAGCGCAAAAACTAAATTGGATCAAATTCAACAATTTGCGTAAGAATATTTAGCATTTAAAGTGCAATAAAGCGAATATTGACTAATGTAAATTTTCCATTGTTGGAATTTCCTACATTGCAGCGTACTCAGTAATTGTAGTTGTCATAAAATATGCAGAAAACATGCCTATGTCAGCGATTCACAGACCGTTTCTTTATCGATTTAATTGCAAATAATAATACATATTATCTATAAAACTGCTGATATCAGTAAATACTCGGCAGAAATAACTTTGACAATATCTTTCTGTATTTAGGTCTATAATAACAACTCCATAATTTCATATATAGCTTAAATTAAAAATACGAAACATTTGCCTATACATAGTAGATAAATTTGATCGCAAAAATTATGATGAATTAAAAGATGCACACAATTATATAATATGGTTTTTATTACTTGACCTTTTAGAGAGAAGAGCACATTTATTTATTTGTAATATTACAGCATATAACACTATGCTATACAATAAATTAAATACAAAATATTTTTTATAATTAGATTTCAAACGAAAAAGACGTTAATGCGATACTAACGAAGCGCCGCTTAGAATTTTTCACTGCCATTGGTGTGAATAAGACATAGCAATAGGAAAGAGATAACGCTTCTTCTCTTTTATCGTTTAATCTTCAGTGATACTCAACGCAAACAGCCATGTGGCATACCGCGTTATCTGTCAAAGAATTTAATTCCTTAAATGTTTCTTTACTTTCTTTAGTATTTATATCATTAATATATCAATAAAACATCATTAATAATTTAAATAACAATAAGACAATAGAGGATTTTGAGCCGACACAAGTTGTTTAATGCTTATTATGCATTCTTCACTGACATTAAAACATATAAATTGATTAACATTCTTTTTTTCCGTTGACATGAATTATTAAACGTTTCGGTCAGTATTTGACTATCTTCAATAAACATAAAAATTGTCCTATTTATGTTCAATAAACATAAATAGTTGTCCAAGTATATGTTTATCAATTAAGGTCAACTTTCGGACAATCTTTTCATATTTACTGAAGATGATCAGACGTAATTTAAATCGTTTGTAAAAATTACAGATGCAAAAAATTATACAACACGAGCAGCTAATATGGACACTATTCATGACCCATATTTAAGACACCTGTTCGATGGCGATCCGATATTCAATGTTTATAATAAAGAGGCCACAAATTTGTCTGTCGGTGCACCTGGTCCTGATCTGTTAAAACATTGTGCAGAAATACTGAATAGATCCACGCGACATAGATTGGTGAGTTTAATTGTTTTAATGTTATACACTAATTTGTGTCTTACTAAACATGGATACATTTCAATTCATTCAACTCAATCAATTATGTCACAAGTTCTCGATAAGATATATTTCTGCGTTTCATTTTTTGAAATTTATCTGTAAGAGATGAGTTAGCACGATAAAATCTAAAGATAAGCTACTACTTTCTATTTGTGCTTTGTAATTTTGTACTTTGCACACATGTCTGCGCTGTATTGTCTAATTAAAATGCGTATAAAGTGCAGTATCATACAAGTACGAATCTCGCACACGTATAATATAATAGAATTTTAAAATAATATGATTTTTATTGAAAATCAAAATGTAATAGTGACATTTCGATGATTCAATAATTAATACTTCATTATTTAGACGAAACTATACGAAACAAAATGTTTTAAAGTTTCTAAAAATATATATTGACAATTGCGATCACATCAATGTTGATATATTAAATATTATTTTAGGAAGAAGAAGCAAAGGAAGGAAATTATTACCTCTTTCAGTATGGTATTACAGCGGGTCTTTGGGAATGTCGTAATGAGTTAGCCAAATTTTTGAGCAGACGATACGGTAACTCCGTAATGAGAGAGCACTTGACATTAACATGCGGCGCATCGCATGGTCTTCAATTATTATTGACTACCGTACTTTCGCCAAACGGTATTATCTTTGTGGAGGAAGTAACATACATGATTGCTCTCGATGCTTTTAAGCAGTTTCCGTTGATGAAAATAATTACAGGTGGATATATTATGAATTTTTCATATATTCGTACAAAAATCAGATCATAAGGCTCGTAAAAATAAGACTAGATTTGTCTTAAAGACACGCTGACAAAAATATGTATTATTATTTTTTATTATTATTATTCCATATAGTGCCAATGAAGGATGATGTGGTAGATTTAGACGCATTCGAAAAGATAGTAGCTGAAGAAAAGATGAAAGGCAACTTTCTCCTGAACAATCAGAAAATATTCTGGGCGATGTTTTACACTATACCGATTTTTCACAATCCAACTGGAATGACATTGTCGCCAGGTAACTAAAATATTATATACGTATAACAGGATTTCTTTATAAGACCTTCTATTTTTTATCCGTATTATTCCGTGACAGAAATTTGCATTCATCGATTTAAAAAATTAATTAAACAATAAACACAAAAGATTCTAGTATATTTTTCTGTATAAATTGAAAGCGTAGGTCACTATCTATTTCACTTCTTGACAGATCAGTGTAAGCGATTAGTGGAAATTGCACGAAACAATTCCATGCTGGTAGTCTGCGACGATGTATACAATTTGCTTTATTATGGACAAGGATCTCCGCCACGACGTTTACTTTCGTATGACGATCCAAAAGATCCAAATTACAAAGGAGGAAATATTGTATCGAACTGTTCGTTTTCTAAAATTTTTTCACCAGCGATTCGCGTTGGATGGATCGAAAGTAATCCGCGTATCGCAAATATTGTGAAGACATCGTAAGTTTCGTACATCTTATTCTACTTATTCTTTTTAGAAAATAATTATTGACAAGCATATACAATGCGAAATTATTTGTCGTATCAAACTAGTTATGATATCACTAGTTTAAAAAAAAATAATCGGCAAACATTAATGTTACAAATTTTCACGAATCAGATAAGATCTTCTTGCGATTGATTACTGGCAACTGATTGTTTTAAATGTTTTCTGCTTCATATATTTTTTACAGAGGCGTAATGTGCAGCGGTGGCGGAGTTAATCATTATGTTTCTGGAATAATTGCGAGTATGCTTCAGCAAAATATCGAGAATGAGTATCTTGATAAGATCATAAAGATCTATAGGGTACGTTATATTATTTCTATTATAAATGTTTAGATACTTCGAAAAATACATTATTTCATTGAATAAATACTGCTAATTCTTTCGTAAAATCACATGACTGAGAAAAATAAATTGTATATAAAATTTAATAATTTATTTGAACGTAAAACTATTTTCCATTTATTTATACTATTACTTTTACGTAATAGTATACGTAATAGCTAAATAAGAATAATATAAAAAGATTTACACAGACTATAAGAGTTATTCGATATATAGGAACGATTAGATACGCTTTGTACAACTTTGAATCGATTCCTGCCAAGTTGTTGTTCGTATCGGCGACCAGGAGGTGGTTATTTCGTTTGGATCCATCTTCCCACAGGTATAATGAATTTTTTAATTCTATAATAATGACTATGAAATATATTAATCATGCGTCTGAATAAATACAAAATAAAATATTCAGTTGTAAGACAAAATTCTAAAATAATCGCAAAATTATATCGTTCTTCAATTATTTTTCTATTATTTCTGTCAATAATTATATTTACTCTATTTATTGTAAAATTAAAATTTTTTTAAAGGTATAGATGGCACCAAATTTGTCAAATGGTGTCAAGAAGAATATAAAGTATCAGCCATACCTGGTACTCGATTTTCATACACGGGTGAAGCAAAGAATTTTTTACGCATAAGTATAGGTTTTCATACGAAAGAAGTTTTAGAAACTGCGACAGAAACTCTGTGCAAGGCACTTTTAATATATATTAGACAAGTTGATTGTGAAAACAATGTTGACTAACTTAAAATGGCAATTCTTTTAAGTATTATTTTATTTATATATTACAATTAAAATAAATGAATGTATAAAATTAAGAAAAGTATCTATTAAGAAAAATATTTTATACAAAAGAACAGAAAAAAAGTATATAAAAAATATTTTACAAAAAAAATTTACATAAAACATTTTATACATATTTTATTATAGCAATTGTGAATATATTTAGAACTGTAATTGTAAATATAAATTTAATAATTATGACTCTTTATAATTCACATCATTATAATGTTAAAGTAGGAGCAAAATATGAGATAAAAAATTATAAAAATGAGTATATGTATACTTTTTTTTTTATTATATAATTAAATATTCTTTACACACTTTGTATGTATATATTTATTTATTATATTTATTCAGAATCACCTAACAATTCTTTTTGTTTTACTTCCAACATTTCTTCAGCTTCACTCGTATACTGATGGCTAAGAATATCTATATAGTTTTCTATCCTAAATGCCAAATCTTTTGCTAACTTTTCCTTTTGTTTTACTGTCTTAATTTGCTTGTTGCGTATTTCTCTAATATTTTCGCAGCATTTCACATAAAAATTTTTTGCATTTTTAGATAAGGTTTCTCTGTGTTCCTTCGTTACTCTGTAAGAAGAGATGTAAATGTTTTAAGAAAATGTTTAAAGAAAAAATAAAACTATCAGAATCGACGTAATTTAATTTTTAAATATTTTGAAACTTTAGTTCTCTTATGACATAAAGTTTAAATATATTAAAATATAAGAAAAATGCAAAAAATAAAAATAACTGGAGTTTGAAAGCATTTCCAGTAAGAACAGCAATTTTAAAACTTACTTAGGAGTAGGAATATAAATGGTAGTCCCATCTTGTTGTGGATTTAACTTCATTTGATTTTTCATAAGACTTTTCAGAATGTCAGGAATAGCTTGTGGAAAACTAGATACATTTAGCACTACTAGTTTCGGTTTACGACTGATTTGTGCAAGCTCTTGCAATGTGTAATCTTTGCCTTCAAATTTTACAGATAAATTTTCAATAGCACCCATACTGGATCGTACTGATAAATTTTTGACAAAGTCATTTTTTAAGATTTCAATTGTCTTCTCAAATTGAGATGTTAGTTTTTTAACATCAATAACTTGTTCCATCTCATTATAATCAATATGTTGTACTTTTTGTTTCTTTTTATCTTTGCCACGGTCTTTGCCTTTCGCCAATACACAGGTCACAGAAAAGTTTCTCACATTAGTCATTTTGACACAATTGCAAAATGAAAAATTTGAAATATCACAGTGCTGAATAACTTGCAGAGATCTGGGCTGCTTTTTCACATAATATATTCCTTCAGTTAATGCAAAGTGATGTAAATAGTTTTTCATAGGTCTTAATGCTGAGATTATTGCATAACTTTTTAATTGAATATTAGCGGTAAAGAGTATGCCGATATTTCCCATTTTCTCTATTGTTACAAAAGATTGCTTAGTATAATTACAATATAATAATAGTATAGTATTAAGATTATCCAACATTCGGATAATAAGAGATATCCATTTGGCAATTTTTGTTGTGTTTAAACAATATAAAAGACTGTATATATTTTAACTTTGCTTCAATTGTTCACGCACATTTAAGACACATTAAAGGTTAGAATATCTAACCTTTTTTTGTGCAAGGTTATGTATCAACTGGACGGAACATATAAGGTGAGTGAACAGTAGAATTCATAGATTTTATTTAACGTTAAATGTACAATGAATATATAGGAAAATATGTGCTTCGAAATTTTGCTATGAATACAACATATTTGTTTTAAAAATCGAAATACAGTATAACTGGTTACGAGTTTTATAATTATTTCTGTGATAGGTTAGAAATAGGTGCTTCTATAACCTCTTATTTCGATTTTGAGTTAGATCGCCATGTATTATTAATTTATTTTATTTATTTTCCATTATCTATTTTCTATGTAGTTCTATAAATTTGATCGAATAAAGTTTTAAAGCACATCCTGTATCGTTTACAATATGTGACATGAATGAATTGCACAAATTAACTCTGTAATTAGCAACATATTTGTACTTTATATATGAAAATATAAGATTTAGTTAATAAATTACGTAATGTTACAAAATCTTACAACCATATACGCTTTTATTTATGCTGATTATAATTGTACATGAAAAACAGTTGTATTGCAAACTAGTATACTAACAAGTTATATCTCTAAATTGATATTAAACTGATATTATTGATTTAGATTTGTAAAATTGTTTTTGTAAAATATATTTTTCTTTGCAAATTGCTCTATGTATTTGTACATAAATAAATGGTGTATTATTTACTTTGTTTATGAGTTTTATTGTGAGTTATCAATTAAGTAACACTGCAATTCTTATTGTTTCAGAGTAATTTTCTATGAACAGTGACGAATAAGAACTAAGGACAACATTGAAAACAAGTAATCGCAATTTTCAGTGTTGAATAAATTGCTGATAAAGAAGCGATTTCTATTTCGATGAACATGAATAAGACACCGGTTTCTATTCTCCAAGAAATGATGGTGAAACAGGGTATGATACCTGATTATGAATTGATACATGATGGTGGAGGTCGCCACGTAAATACTTTTACATACAAAGTGACATGTGATGGCCTCAGTGCAATTGGTATGGGCCGTTGTAAAAAAGATGCTAAACATGAGGCTGCTAAAGCTATGCTAACAGAGATTGCTAAACATAGAAACTATCCGCAGCTACCAGCTGCGAGTACACCAGCACAGTCTCCTTCAAGATCTCCATTCCATTCTAGTCCGCTCCCAGCAAAAATATCAGCAAATGTACCATTTGTTAATGCTATAGGTGAATTACAGGTAACTGTCTTTTATAATTATATAATTAATATTATAATCATATATTTCTATGAGATTATATTCTTATATTCTTACAGGAGCTTTGTGCTGAAAATCACTTGAAAGACCCGGAATATATTCTTGTCCGGGATGTTGGACCACCACATGCTAGAGTTTTCACAATAAGATGCACAGTATCTAATTTTAAGGAAGATGGAGTGGCAACAACAAAGAAACAAGCAAAGCATGATGCCGCAAAAAGGATGGTGGAAAGAATAAAAGGTCTTGTGGATGGATTAAATGATCTGCAAATAGACGAGGATGAAGAAGAATCTTCAGATTCCATAGAAACAATGAATAAGAATGCAAGAGAGTGTTATCAGACATTGATAAAATCTAAAATGGTTAATTTAGGTATTAAATTAGATGATTATCACATCAAATTGAAAGATTCCTTGGAAGCAGAAAAACGCAGTAAAATATTACAAGAACTGCGTTGTATCTTTCCTGATAAACTTTCCGACAATTCACATGAATATGTTACTAATGAATTCTTAATGGACAAGTTATCTAGGGTAGAAACATTATTATCAGATGCCAATATAACACTTAATATGAAAGAGATAGAAACAAATGGTAAATGTTTCGTCACAGCAATAGTGCTTAATACTTGCCCTTCTATCACGCAGATGGGTAAAGGAAACAACAAGACAATTGCTTCTTGGGAAGCATTACTTCAAATAATAAACTCTTTAACAATACTCTTGTCAGAATAAGTTACTGGAATAGGATTAACAAATGCAAAACAAATTTTTATATAATACACAGTACTAATAAAGGTACTAAAATACTAACGTATTTTGAGTAAAAGTACTAAAAAGTACTAAAGTTTTTTTTTTAAGCATTTTATGCATTACTTATATTTTTAGAAAGGTTTAAAATTTAAGTTTTTTAAGTTGATAATCTGTTAATCCTACTTGTATAAAATGTTAAATTTGCTTATTATTTTTAAGTTTAAGTTGTGTGATAAAAGATTCAACATGATAGAATATATCATATATGTATTATTCCGAGCAGAAAAATAAAAAAAGGTAAATATTTTTATTTTTACTAATATATTTTTATATTACTATAGTTAGAAAATCTAATCATTCAAAAGACTGCTAATATTTTAGTTATATGATATAAATGTCATGTATTAAAACAAGTGTTGATTTGAAAATGCGTTCTTTTTCTATAAATATTATTTTAGAGGAATGGCAGAATGATGTTGTTAGAATTTCTTATAATTTATTTTATTAAATATTCCTTTTTTTTTCTGTTATTTAAAAAAAATTTTACGTTTCTTGATAAATATTCTTTTTATGTTCTTATTAGTGAAACAATAAAAACTTTTATGTATCTTGTATTCTGGATATAAAATAAACTTATTATTTAAAATATACATTACAGTGTATTAATACATTTTCTAATTAGTTGATAATCCAATTTAGGATAAATAATACAATATATTTTATAGTATTATATTATACATTGTACTATACATTTAAGGAATCAAACTTAAATCTTTTTTGAAAGGTTTGATTCCTTAAATGTCTTTTTCTTTTTTATTTTGCCTATTAGTATTTTTCATTCAATCGTGTTGATAAACTTGATCGTTTTCAATTTTTACAAAAAAGCGGATTATCAATATACGATTTTGAATGCTTCTTTATTGAAATTATTTTGCAAACAAACAAATTGCTACAAATTTTTTATTTAATATCACATAATAGAGCTACACCTCGAAGTGTCCAGTGTCGAGGATTATAATCTGTTTCAAAATCGATGGATCCCACGTACTTTGCATCCGTTCTTTGAGGCTTTCGATATATAGGGCATTCGTATAATTTTGGGTCTTTACCAGCGGTAGTATTTATCGCAAAAATATAAATAACCGGCATTTGTTCATAGAGAACTTTCGGTTTACTCTCAACGAGTTTGCCAGCTTTCCGATCGAGCGATGCACCTTCTAGAAACAAACCGTAAACATAGACTCCTTCTTGCGGTTGACTTTTAACATCCTCTTTATTATAGCGTGTAATGACGTTTTGTAAAACCACGGAGTCTAAAGCCCAACCTTTATGTGCTCTGGTCACTTCCTGAAATTAATTTGTTCTGTGTATTTTCTGTAGCTAAAATTGGGATAAACTTAAACTTCCTTATTAATATAATTTTGACTCTCACCTGCCTCATTGCCGTTAAGAATCCTTGCGGATTAAAAAATCCAGTCATCCAAAATACTTTAGGACGGCCGTGATTGCACCATTGTCTGAACTGATGGTCTCTTTCCAAAAGCTCCGTATACCAGAACCCTAAAGTTGCCGATTCCCAAGATATTTTCAACCACTTGTCGGGGATGCGTGCGTCGTACATCGAATCCAATGATTTTCGCAAGCCTTGACTCATCACGATAGTACCCTCAATAGCTAGTTTCAAGTCTGTTAAAGTGCTTCTTACTTCCTTGATGACCCTCGAAATTCTAAAAAGATTATTATTAGGAAAAATGATAATTTGTACTATATATTTTTAGTACTAATTGTAAATTGTTGGATATCGCGGATCGAAGCCGCGAGATGTCACAGTCGCGTCTGTAGTTAGTTAGTTAGTTAGTCGTGTGTGGCGACGCGCGTGTTTACGTGTTCTGTGTATTACAATAAATAGAAAGTTATAACCGTTACGTTACGTGTCATCGTCATCTCACACTTCGTCTCCTTAACTTCGGACACCATTCAGACTTAACAGTAAGTAAATAATAATATTTTACAGAATATTAAAAAAAATTATTCTATGCGACAGACAAAAACGAATACTTGCCGGTCTATTTCTTGTCTCAGAAATATGTTCATTGGCAACAACGGCCCCATTCTTTGAAGCGCTTCTTTCACTTCGAAAGAATTATATTGCTTCGGTATTTTGGATAGCATATCATCGGCTAATTTATATACGACATTTTCTCTAGATTCGCCCCCCTGCGCGCCACCTTCTTTCGGCTGTACACTGAGAATTGTATCGAGTATGCCTTTTGCCGTGTTAATTTGATAGGTAATGTCGGCATTTGGATGTAGTCCAAAAACTTCCGGTGTGTCAGTAGCGGCTAAACTATCGATATAGTCGAGGTATCCCTGAAGATTTCTCGTTTGAGGTACTTTGTATCCCCGATAAAATTCAAAGCCCGGTCGTAACAATACATCGCAGAACCAGACATGCGTGAAAGTGGTTAATAATCGCTTATCAAAATCATCCGTAACTCTACCCCCGTATTGAACCTGTGTGAAAAAAATACGTATGATAGAAAATTATGAAAAGTATAATGTTGCTAAATTGCACTGCTTGTATGAAAGTAAATGGACAAATAAATGGAGACCTCTCCAAGCATATAGCAGACAGTTGGCCAGGAAACGCCTTTTTTAGGATCCATATCGTCCAAATGATTCTGTATGAATTGAACTGATGCTGCGAAATCTGCTTGATTAAATTCGTAAGGTACATTCCAGCCGAGCGGTCCAAATTTTCTCCTTTCCTGTACGACGGTGTGCAGAAATGCAACAGCGTATAACAAGGGTGGCCATTGCGATTGAGAACTGTAATCCAACGCGTCCTGAGTTACCGCTTGATAAGTTCTTTTCATACTAGCTCTTATGCCTTGAGGTGGCTCATTTGTAAATTTGATTGCCATCTGAAACATATTGAAATCTTATACTTTTTTCTTAATTGTTATATTAGTAAAATCTTATACTTTTTACATAACATTTAATATTATTTTTCAAATTTATTCTGCAAAATCGCTCTTCTTTCCTCTTCCTATGCGAGAGAAAGAGACATACTGATGTGTCTACTAAATGAAAAATCCAACCTGTAGTAAGCCGATTGGAAATTGAGTATGCACTTCAGTTGTCATCCAGAGTCTAAACACCTTGTGAATAGTTTCCGTTTCGACAAGAGCATCCATCACTTCTGTGGAAAAAGGCAATGACAAATGGATGTTTTGCAAGAGAACCCAACCGCCCGTGTTCATGGCTTCGTTAATCATTCTTCGAGCATGAAATTCTTGGCCTTGCCCCATAGACACCGAATTTAATGCTGTAATGTTAGAGATTTGTCAGCAAATATATTTACACTTTTTAATATTGTTAGGAAAAATTTTAGCTTGCAAAAAGAAGAATTATAATTGCAAACTTACAAATCGTCTTTTGTTTGGCTAATGCTGTAATCTGAGGGCTTGGATCGGATCCTATAGATAATAAGCATATAAGTGGTGTTCTAGGTTCAGACTCTAGCCACGTCTCTTCTAAATCCAATATTTTCGCCTCGCCGTATTCTTTACCCAATGATTCAGTGATATATTTTCTTGACTGAGATAACGTTCTGTCAGGACTCCACGATCTGATGAGCAATAACTTTCGAAACACATCGAGACTCTTTTGATAGCCGCAGGGTAATTCTTCCTCCTCTGGCTTCTCCTTTTCGTACCATATTCTCCATTCTTTTTCACTAAATTCAATTTTTGTTAAAACATCCGAAAATGCTTCCAATCTGCTTATTTCAACTAAGTTTAGCCATGTTATATCGAGTATCCACTTGAACGGTTTTGGTGTCACCGCGTTGAGGTCTAATGATGCACCGCCTTTTATAAAAGCGTTAAATTCCGCGTGAGAAATAACATTTTTATGACAGTCTATCTTCATGGCTAGCATCAATGTAAATAAGGCTTTATGTCTTTCGTAGAGACTCCTCAAAGTAAACGCCCAGACTTCATATGTGAGATGACGCAAAATGATATTTATCCGCTCGGAAGTAATAGGACTCTTCGCAGATTTCGTAATTGAGTTGTCGAAGATTGTCAGGAATTGTCTCAATGAATTTTGATACATCACATTAACGTTGCTCATTTCAACTATTAAGAAGTACAGAATAGATCCTCTTGACGCAACCGCACGAAATTCTTCGCGTGCCAAGGTAATTTTTTTCTCGGTAAGAGCAGACACTTGTAATTTCTCATTCACCGATTCGGCCGTGATCTTGGTTTCACGAAGAACGGTTATAAGCGCTTCATCATCCACTAAAGAGCCTTCCGAAGATGTGAGTCTATGCAATAATGTACTTTCAAGCTCCTTCATCGAACGCTGGTTAGTCATAACTGATTCGAATAAAGCGACTCTTTCCGCTTCTAAGTCAGCTTTTTCCATAAGTATCACTCGGCCTAATAATTGATCTTCTAAACCCAGCATTGTCACGGTAAAATCGATAATCGATGTTTTCGCGGATATTTCTGGGCTGTACGCTGGATTTGGTAGCTTGGTAGTAATATATAACATAAATCCTGGCATCACGTCGCACTCCTTATCGCCAACGATCACCTTCTCGATGGATCCCGATTTTATAAAATTCTTTTCGAGCACATTATCGAGCACCGGATCGAGTTCTTCCGCGACGTCTTCGATTAGCAGCGGTCTGCCTAATGAAAGACTATCTTCAAGATGAGTCCGGAAGTATTTATGATTCAGCGAGGTAATTTGCAACTCATTTGTGCACTCTTTATTTTTAATCCACATTTTTCCTTGATTCTGCGGATCTACGAGAAGCGGATAAGACGAGGATTTGGTGACGATAAGCGCATTCTGTACTGATAACTCATCGTTCGGCAATCCCTGGAGTGTCCACTCTGACGTTGTTGCAGAATCAACAAGCATATTTGTTATATTCAAATTTTTAGTAAAAGGTATAGATTTAGTGGTCAATATATTCATCCACGCAGTTACTAAGCTCGCGCGGTACTGTTGATTGTAAGGTCCGCAGTATGACAAGAATCCGGTCGCTAACAGAACATCACCGACCAATCGTCCTAGTTGAATCTTGAATTCTCCGCTTTGCTCGGTCCATCGAATTTTCTCGCCGCCCAATCCATTTATCAGAGCTGTCGCAGCTGTCATTTTTCTCAGGCACACATTTGCAGCCTCCGTCAATCTTTGCTTCTCCGCTACCGCGGTATCGTACTGCTCTTTGACTGCTTGTAAAGCCATTTCTCTTTCGGACAATTCCCGTTCGGCATTCGCCAGATCCTCCATAGCGAGTTTCAATCGTGCCTCTTGCAGTGCTAAATTTGCTTTTAAGGGCAGAACCTCCTTGTTAACGGAATGGAAAAACGCCATAGCCTTGGTCCACGATAGCAAACCAGCAACGTCGCCGCATACACGCCTAGCTGTTTCCATATTGTAATCCTCCATCTTAAAATACGGCTGCAGTAGCTCGACCATCTCGTTGTTAATTATGTCTTTCGGATAATTTTGTAATTGTAACAGGAACGTTGTACTTGCCATGAGTTTTAGAGATTCTGCCCACGAAGGTTTAGGGCATGGCGTAGTGGTGTCGGGCACAACGGATCCGATTTTACGTTGAAACAATATCAGTACACAGTCCATAATTCTCATAATGAGATGAGGAGGCCTGCCTAATTTTCTCACTGTTGCTATGTGAGCAGGTTTGATAGTGTTCAGAGCAGCTTCCGCTTCTTCTAACGCTGGCTTCGCAGCTTCCAGTTTTTGCTCGGCCAGCGCTTTCTCATCAGCTATGCAGGCTACCAATTGTTCTGCTTTTTCTTTCACTCTTTGCACTTGATTCTTAAAAGCTTCAGCCTGCATTGCTCGCTCCGTTACCTCTAAAAGTACCGTCTCGGCTTTCTCGGAAGCCTGAACTAACTCCTGTTCCATTACGGCTAAGTCCCTCTTTAGAATTTCAACCGATATCGACGCCTCCTCGAGTTTCGCTAAGCCCGTGTCCATTCTTTTGGCTCCTTCGCCGAGCTCGTATTGCTTAGATCGATATATGTTTTTGTATCCACCGATAAAATTCAAATAAGACTTTGGAGTCACGTGAGTGGCACGCCGAAATCTTTGGAAATATTCGACCGAAGTTTCTGAAACGATATCCTGTATCGATCCTAATGCGTTTACCAATTCAATTTTCACATCATTAGTGCAAGCAATTTCAAAATCATTAAGAAAATGCTTGGCAACCAAGATCAGAGCGTCCTTAGGCCAAGGTTGAAACCAATCTATAGTGCAGCCTGAGATGAGCGCCGGAAAACGTTGAGCGCGATTTCGGAACTTTTCGCCAACAGGAGAAAAACAGAAAACGACGTGCAAATTTTGGCAGGTTCTTTGCAAAAAGAAATCCATCACCAATTCGTTATTGAGAGTTCTCTTAGGATTTTCCCGTCTCAAAATGGGTGTCAACTCCGATATGATCTCCGCTTGCTCGTCACGCGTGAATAAATTGCTGATAACTCCGGAGCTCAAAATATTATTCAAATATTCGAGGAAACCCTCTTCCTTGATGTCGAGATCAGTGAAAATAAATGTTGTACCTTTACCTTGAGCACCGCAGGTGCGATATAAAAATCTAAGATCTTCTAAGAAATTGGCTACGTTATAAGATCTAGTTAGTGTGATTTGGAATGTCTTGTATCCGGCTATAAAAGAGGATAGCTTTGTGAGACTTTGTTTGCCAGAGCCGCCGACACCTACTAACATCACATTGCCTTTCGGATGTCTAATGATTCTAGATATCTTCACTAAATGCAGCATGGCATCGGGGAAAAATACTAGATCCATTCCAGCACCTCTCTGCATTTCATTGAATTGTGCCAGAAACATATCTAATCTCTCTCTTAACACTTGAGTCTCATAAACAGGTTCGTATACTTTCGGAAGTTCCACATCCGCGTCTTCGCCTTCCTCACCGGTTGGTTCCGGAGCATCTCTATAATTAAACAAAATTCATTAATATTGTACATTATTTTTATGTTAATTATATTTCATTGATTACGCACCGCATGAAATCGACGAACGCAGGATCTTGATCCAGCATGCTTATATATTTCTCTCCTAAAATATCGCCTACGACGCGCACAACTTCCCCGTCAAACCACTCCTTGTCACTTTGTATTGTAAGCCTGTCGCTGAATACTCGCGAACACTCATGTTTCCAAAGTAGCATCAGTACACTTTCCTTATCGATGACAGTCGACAACGTGCCGACCATACCTTGCCAGATTCTGGAGAGATCTCGGAGATTGAAAACATAATGAAACTTCGCAGGCGTTGGCAGCAGCTTTGCCCGCGTCCTTTCCCAAAGCGTTCTAGTCAAGAGAATCATTTTCTTGACGAGCTGACGCACCTCTTGCGAGAATCCTCTTTTAATATTGTAATGTCCCTCGCCTAAAACGCTGAAGATTCGATCGATCGATGCATTGTCAGGTAACGTACAATTAAAAATACAAAATTGTCTCTTGAGTCTCGAGGGAATGTCGTTTCTTCCGCCACCGGGTTGGCACATGGCTCCGAGGAAAGTTACATCCACAATCGCAGTGAAATCGCCAGGTTTTTCCAAAGAATAAAATCCTTTCATATCCATCGTCTGTCGGACGATTTCGTTAGTTATCTGATCGCCCCATTCGTTGATTTGCGGTAAATTTACATCGTCGATAAAAATTAACATTTTCTTGCCACCTGGTGGCCCGAATGTATTTCCCATCCGTTTTTCCACGTAGCTCTCGATGGTTTTTTGGAACTGATATGGACTGGTCGCTGAGCTAAAATTGAAGGAGCGACTCAAAGTCGTGTCTGGATTTGCTTTCTTCATATACGACTTCATCATAACAGTTTTTGCAGATCCTTGCTCGCCTATTAGCAGCACAGCTTTATCTTGACGGCCAATTAGGTCGATCAGATATTGAACCCTCACGTTATCCGGTATGGGTACCAAGACATTGCTGTAGTCGGGCGTTGAATATTCAGGATAGACGTAATTAGTCACCATGCTTGTCCATGTGTCCCACACGCCTTTTTCTGTGACATAGAAATCGAATACCGTGGCATCTAAATATCTATCGGAAGTCGGTAGATCCAAAGTATTGAAATTTTCTCGAAGATACGTGTCGTATTTCCGTCTGTCAGCAGTTTCCAGCAATGCTCCTATTCCCCACACCAATGCAAACACATAAAGACGTTTCAGATATTCTGCTGTTACAGGGACAGGTTTGTCTTTCTCCATATCTTCATCTTCGGCTTCTTCTACTGGTACCTCGGGAGGTATTAAGCCCTCCAGTAGACAAAGCATTTGTCTCACTATATTACATTGCAAAACATCGATAGCGAGTATTAATGTCTGAGTGCTCCACGAATAAATCTAGAAAATTCAAAATTTACTCACATAGTTCATACTTACAATTTTCATAATATATATATTATATTTTTATACAAAATTATTTTGCATTAAAATTTTATCACAATTAATTTATTACCATTTAAACTTTAATATATGCAGTAACATAGAAACTGATTTAATTTTTTTTATCTTTTTAATTGTTCAATTATTTTGCAATGCTAAATCATATAATTCCTTAAGTTAAGATAAAAATAAACTGCAAATGTTTTTAAAATTATATTAAGTCAAAATATAATTACGATCTGCGATTAATTTACCTGTGCGAAAGAGTCCGCAAACAACTGCTCGAGAACTTCTTGCTCCAACGGTAATCGTGATTTTAGCCAAGCGGTGACAACTGGATTCCAATCTAATCCTGAAGAGCTCATGTACACCATTCCGTTTCGTGAAACAGTTGCAGGGCTAGCATTGTCGATATTATGCGGTTCGAAAATAATTTTACACGTTGGCGCCATTGATAACCTATCGCCATTGGCTAGAGTCAAAGTCTTGTTATCATCTAATACGGAATTTAAATTTTCTATCCAAATGCTATCAACGGGACCGTCAAGCACTAGCCATACGTGCTCGCCTGTTTTTAATTTCAGCGTTTTGCGCCACAGAGCTGAGAAAATTCCGTCTGTCCAGTCGTTGGTAGCTACGTCTAAACGACCAAACATTTGAGCGGCTGTTATACTTTTAGGATTCATTCTCATTTCCCTAAAATAAGGAAGTTAAGTCAATGAAATTAAGCCGCAGTTAATTACTCGCAGTTTTGACAAACAATATTTTAGATACGTATTATTATTATTTTATTTCATAAAAATTGCTAAAAAAAATTTGCAATTCTAAGATATTTTGTGTAATTTGTAAACACTATATAAATTAATATATGTTTATATAAATTGATTTACCTATGCGAATCGCCAATTTGCGTCAATGCTTTCATCAAAGTATGTATGCACGTAGTTTTGCCAGCACCGGTTGGACCTAAAGTCATGATTCCATGTCTTACTCTTTGCGTCTCATAAAGCTGTATTAATTTCAGCACCCACGGCGCATGACAAATCAAACTAGCTTGTTCCACTTGTTCACTAATAGCTGCTTCCAGTTCAGGATACGATGTTTTTTCTAGGGCTTGATTAGGAAACAAGTCAGCTACAAGGGATATAAAAAGCGGTTCGTCTTCATCTGTAAAAGAAATTACCATATATTTTAGCATAAGAAGTTTGTGTGCACTTTAATCACTTTAATCACTGCACATTAATTGCTATTAATTAGCATAATGACCTATGAGTTTGGAAAGATTCATGTCTCTTAGAACACGCATGACAATCGTACTCTCTGAATCCTTGGAATTGACTCTCTTGGCTGCTCCTAAGGTCCTTAATACAGACAATATATTTCGCAGACCGAAATCGTAATGAACCTACAACCAATATGTTGCAAAATGTCAAGATAATTGTCTTCTTTTATAAACATCACTGACGTTACCTGTTTGGTTAATTGTTCTTCGCACAATTTGTAAAGAGTATAAAATTTACGAGCTAGCGTGATGTTCTCCAGAAATCCACAACTAGCTAGCTTTACGCGTATAATAATTTGTCGATCAGGCACCATCATAGCTACTGTGCGAAATTGTATCTTCAAGTTTTCCGGCAGTTCTTTTCTTCCTGCATAGCCAGGATTCTACAATTTATACAACATTGAGATTTATTACATTGTATACATTATTTTTCAAAGTAATTTGTGTTTCAATTAACTATTATATGTAAATAATGAAAATAACAATAATTTACACAAGAATCATAAATTTTTTAAATTAATTATTTGCTTTAGCCTTTTATTATACTTCGTTAAATTTACTCCTTTGTTAGTATTTACCATAGTAATAAATATTCCAAGTTCTGGACACATGTCGATCTGATCTCCATCCGTAAAAATAAACTGCTTCTTTTTTTCCTTCTTCGCAGCAAGTACTACAGCGACTTGCTGAGCGGCAACAGATAGAACAGGTAATTCGATTCTGTTAAATTCGTCGAAGCAACCCCACGAGCCACTTTGCGCCAATCCTTTGTAGATGCGACCTAATCCTCGATAATCCATTTGGTCGGAGCAATTGAAAACTACGACATACTTCGCCAAGGTCTTCCCCATGTCCTTTACAGTCTCAGTTTTCCCAGTTCCTGCCGGGCCGCAAGGAGCTCCTCCCATTGACATTGACAAGGCTTGCGCTAAAGTTATGTAACATCTAAAACATGAAAACTGTTAACATAATTTCTGCGATAAAATCCAATTTATGATTGTGTTTACCTGTCGGTTAATGGCGTAATAACCAATCGTTCGGTACATCCTAAGTATTCATTTTGGTAGGTAAATTGAACATCGGTGATAAGTATGGAAGTCTTGTCTAAATCTTCTTTAAAATAAAATCTGCACTGTTTTAACCACTCGAAATCATTCACAGATCGCACGTTAAGACGGCACTAAAAAATCGAATACACGGTTATTAATTGACTGTTTCATTGCAATTGTAATCATTCATATTTTTGATACGTTATATATTTCTAATGAAAGTTTAATTTAACAACATACCAATATGTCGAAGATATCACGTTGATGCACATGTATAGTGATCAATGTCTCGAATTTAATTCGTTCTATTTTAGTAAGATCTCTCGTGGTTTGATCGATCAAAGTATTTAAAAGATCAAGGAACTTATTGTTTGTTTCAATCATAATTTTTTTGTCCGCCCGAGCTTGAGCTAAGGCCAGTTCACCATCTCGCGTCCAAATCATTTGAATACCTAACAATCCTATCTGGGCAGGCATTTTATCAAGAAAGATTAATAGATTGAAATTTGCATCATTGATCATGCTGAAGCAATTACGAATGATCGAATGCAAGGAGAGCTGCGATGTTTGTAGTAACTGCATCAACCATGTTTCTACGGAACCCTCTGCTCTCACTGCTTTTTCAAGCTGTATAAATTATTATAAACAACTTTAGTTTTATTTTTAAAAAGCATATTTCTTTTATATCACATAAATTTAAGAAATTAAAAATTATTACACAAAACTGTCAAGTTTAAGATAAAAAATTGAAACGAGTTACAAATACTATTTGCTTAAAATTAAATCTTTTTTTTTTATTTTAGATTAAAATTGTCTATATATTATTTAATTAAATTATTTACTTGTATAGTTTCGCCTTCCGATGAAACAATGGCCGTCATTTTATTGTACTCGATATCGTGAAACTTCACGTAACGTGTATTATCAAAGATAGAGAGTAGATGATTTTGTATAGTGTGAGAATCAGACGCTTGGCCAAGTATCTCCAAGAGTGCAGGATCCGAAACGAAGAAAAATCTTGGAAACATCATGCGCTTCTTCTCTAAATAACTAAAACATTTTTTATACAAGAAATATTAATAAGAGATGTCGACAATTGAAATTTGATAAAAAATTATGATTAAAAGTTTAAACCAAGAAGGAAAAGGATATGCGCATATTATTTATCGCAAGGATATTTACCCACTCAGAGACTTTTGACATAACTCTAACTGCTCTTGCAAGTGTGGTAAAAGTTGCTTTAAGAGATCATCACCCACGCAGCAAGGTACAACTCCCGGTGTTTCGTGGGCGCGTTGCATTATCTTTTGCCAGCTTTTGTCGATTTTACTGAATCTCTTGGCCTCCTTCGGCAATTGTTTCGCGATATCGCCGCCCACGAAGACCGCTTCGAGATAGACCCACATATTCTGTACGAGCAGCCATCTCTCGAGAATCTCGTTCGTATTCGATAAATCTGTGAGCCATTGTTGTATTTGTTTTCTGAAGGGCGCATTGTAACGATTTGACATGAGCGAGCCGAGGACCATCAAGCTGTCCTCCAGCTGGCCGATGGTCTCCGCTGTTGTGTCTCCCCTCAGTAACAATTCTCCTCTGTTGTTGAATGTCATGAAGGTCAACTCGTGAGACGACCACTCGTTTACCACTGTCCTTAATTTGGCTTCAATATCCTTTTCTTTCATAGCCGATATGCAAATATCTTCGATGTCCTCTTTATATTTCAACAACGGTGCTTCAAGAATATTTTTCAGGCAAAAACCTTCGCTTTCAAGATCAAAAGAGTATCCCGTGATTTCCACAATCCTTTGCCAATGGCGCGGTTTCATAGCTTTGTTCGCCATTAATTCGAGAAGGGGACACATATCGTTGAAGTCGTCGATTGTCTTCTTAAGTGCGAAGAACGCCGGCCATTCTTTCAAACCTTTTGGCAATTTACGACAGCGATTTTGGAATTCCATTAACTCATTGTTTATCTCCTCGATATTAACCTAAATAATTTACATAATTATTATATTGATATAGTTTAATTAAAAAAAAAAGAGATATTGAAAGATTTAATTTACCCAAAGAATTTAAAGTAAAAAATAAATACATTTTAATAATAAATACAAATATTTTATATATGAAAAGAGATTTGCGCACAGTATATGTATAAGTGTTATAATTATATTCTAATGTGTCTCACATATTTTTGAAGAATTGCAAATAGCACAGTTTCTTACCTCACCCCATGGAATATCATAATAACTGCTGACTCTATCAATGACGTCATTATACAGTTTGTACAATTTCTGCAGTAAATTCAGCTCCTTCCTGATTTGCGAAAGTTCCGGATAGTCCGTGGTAGGTAAGCCGAAAAGTTCTTCGCCGCTTTGGTAGGTCTGCAGCTTTCGCCACATACCGTCGAACCTGTTCTGGAACAATATTTGTCTATCCGAAGCATCTCGAGGGCTCAAACCCGGTTGCATCGGTCCGGATACTCTGTACTCTTCGCAATACATTTCGTTATCGGTGCGGAATTTCTCGAGATTGTTCTTCAGATCATTTTCGAATTGCGGTTGCAATGTCAACAGCAACACGTGATTCTCTTGCGCTCGCGCTAATAAATTCTGCCAAGTGTCTCTCAAATTGTCGACCTGCTCCAAACATTCCTGATCGACGGGCACTTCGTATCTAGTGACTATGTTGAAAGCTTCTTCGATAGGATCAATTTTGAGTTCCATGTCAACCTCCTGCTCGCGAATCTTTTTCAAAGTATCCATAATGAGACGCACGTCGTCGAGATCGCGAATTTGGTGATCCAATTTGCGATCCATTTCGTTAATTAGTGCATAAACGTATTCCATTTCGCGACGATACTTTTTCTTCATTGCCTGACCGATCTTATGTGTGCAACCTGAAGGAAATTATCAAATTGAATTTTTATTATTTATTGCGAAATTTATTATTGCGAAAATTGCAAAATGATAAAGCCTTTCTGTTCAGTTTACCGCGCTCTACCTGCACACGAGTGGTTGGACGGACATTATCAAACATTCTGTATTTTAAACTACTTATTTATTTGCAGAATTAAATAAAGAATTATTTTTCTAAATATATTATTTATATATTTAAAATAATCAAATTCGTAGTCTTAATATTCAGAACATCAGCGATACTTACCTTTTATTTCCGTGTAAAGTCCATATTTCAGCTTTTCGGTTGATACAGCGATCGATGTACCGAATATAATCATATCCGGCTCAGTGGCTAGTCGATCTTCTAGTTCACTGTGTTTGCGAAGAGTAGATTCAAATTCTGACAAAGAGATTTGAAGCAGTTCTCGCATACTGCGTTCGTTTTTCCACAGAAACTTATAAGGCTTCCAACGATCGAGAAAGTCTGTTAGATCCTGTGGGTACAATAATTTTCTCGGTAAATAAATATCAGAATTCATTGTACTATTGTGCCTTACCTGTCGCAATTCCACCGTGCAAGTGCTCAACATTCCCAGCAATTTAATGATTTCTTTGTTGTCCATAACCAGCGTATGGAAATTTTTTTCCTGAATCGGGAATACAGGTCTCTCTTCGGACAGAATTTTGTAAAGTCTTCGTCTTCTAGTTTTCAAGTCTTCCGGTTCTTCCTTCTGTTTTGTGGAATTATTTTGCGCCCGCAACACGACGTCGGCTAAATTTCGTTTGGATGGAAAAAGGTAGATTTTTCCACATGCTCTAAAAAAAAAAACGGGATCACAAATAATTACTGGACAATAGTATAAAAAATTCTACTGTTATCTTTTTACCTTGCTACCTCTGGAATTCCATTGTGCCACTCCTTTCGCGACATTCGAGATAATTTTTCCAACTGATGACAGCGCTTCTTGAACGTCATCTAGACTTGGTTTGACTGTTACAGCCGGAATCATCAACGTCGCATGTAATAGAAACACCGGATTTGGGGCGACTTCTATAAAAAGAAACATTTTTCTGAAAATTTTTGTTTTGTTGAAATTTGGAGGTAATCGAGGATTATACTGTTATTATCAAGACGCGATAAAAGATTACAAGAATTTTACCAACTTTATAAGAATTTTAATTTAAGGCATTACCCGAATCAAGTTCCCGAATAAATCGTTTCCTGATTGCGTCTAGCGATACTCTGGTGACTTTTGTTAATACGTCCACGATTTTTCTGGAATAATATCGTCTCATCTCGGACACCGCGTTTCGAACCATTTCTTGCATGGTTTTGGATAAGCTGCCAGGTGTTGTCAGTAACTGATGGGGATCGTCAAAGTAATTCCATACCATGGACCAATCTTGCTGAACAGTTTGTTCCGTTGCTTGCTCTCCTTCTAATCCTTTATTTTCCAACAAGACAAAAATTATTCTTGCATTTTTAACGTATTTTGAAAATTTTTTGTGGATGTAGATCTTTTTTTATTACTTTAACAAAATAATAATTTTCATTACTCGTATTTATAATTTATATTAATAAATAAATTTATATAAATGTGTTAAATTACAGCACTTGTAAAATATATGATGCATCTGTGTGTCAAAAAATGTTAAATTTCAGCAGAAAATCTCATATAGTTGAATTACAAGATTGCGAAGACTAATATTAATCGGCAATCGCTAATCATTAATTGATATGAATTACCTTCATTAGTAAGAAATCAAATTGGTCAGCATTAGCGTTGTTTTTAAAGTTATCTGTAGCTTTTCTAACGAGCTGCAATACTTCTTCCACCGCTTCTTCGATCATCGTACTTTTACGATGTAAATCTACTGTTGCCGTTCTGCATATTTCCTCGTTCTTCTCTACGAATTCTTCTATCATCCATGGTTGATCGGATTCCGGTAGAGCATGTAGAGTTACTTTCTGCATACTTTCCAATACTTGAAAAATCCTAGGAAGATAAGTTATTATGTTATTAAATTAATTTTTATAATTTTTTAAAATTTTGTATAGTTTCCTAAAGCTTCTTTACCTAATTTTTTTATAATCTGATTTGGTGTTTTAAATATTAATATTTCTTTTATTATAAAAAATTTATTTTCAGAACAGGTAATCGTATATTTTATTCTATACGTACCTGTTATCGTACACATCGTGAACTCTTGTGATAAGAATGTCAAAGGTTTTGATCTGTTCCTTTGTATTTTGACAGAAATCTTTCCAATCTGGCTTTGTCCACGTCAAGGTTGTTAAACCAGGTTCTAATAAAGATGCAACGCAAACTAAATGCGGTAATAACAATGGGCGAACTTCCAATTTCACGCGCTTGGCGGTAGAAACGAATTCTTCGATCAGAAGTTGGAGAGAGTCTGTGATCAGCGTAAAATAATCTTTCTTCGCTAATATTGTTAGCGCAACAATTGGAATTTCCAAATTTATTTTTGCCAAACAATCGGCTTCACGAAACAGAAGAACGACGCGGTTTTCTAGGTTGACTTTCACTTTCGCTGATTTCTCGTCAACTACGAGCAGTGGCCTGTTATGTAAAATTGATTTCTTTATAATTATTTATTGTTTATAATATAAATACTTATAATGTGTGTCCAGAGAGCTATTTTAAAAAAGTTTTTGTTATTGATCTTAAAATCTAACTGTTTTAAGCAATCCTCGATGACCCAGGAATTTTGATGCGTCCAAATCTCAGCGATATCAGCCTGATATTGTTTCAGAATAGCAATGGCGTTGTTATATCTTTTCACCAAGTCGACGGTCAGTGGCAATGTCTTTAAAACAGGATGATTTGACACGGACGCCGTCAATTCGTCCAGATGTACTCTAATAAAATTTGACGATGCTTTTTAGAGAATTGTTTTCGAAATTTTTCAATATTTTCAATTTATACATAATTTGTTTTGTTTACTTTAAAGAATTTGCCCAAGTCATTCGTCCAGCTATAGGTGGCATGTGTCTTGGCAATGGTGGATCATCTCTTTGCCGTTTGAATAACTTTAAAATCCGATCTATCTCTCTGTCGCTATATCTCACGACAATGTTATATTTTTCCTCCAGTTTTGTAAGCGGTATTTTCTCGCTCACCTTATAACAGAAACAAAGAGATTGAATCGAAAAAAAGTAAGCAATTTTTGAAAGTTGCAATATCAGTATTTTTTGTCGATTTATTAAGAAATTATCTACTCAAATCACCTTTTCAAATCGTGTTAAAAATCGTATGCCCTGCGGCGTTTCCCACACATCGGCATAATTTTTTTCAATAATATCGCCAATATTTTCTTTCAATGTGTTTGTTTTTGTCATGAAATCATCGTAATCAGTGTCAAAATCAATGTTTCTTGGATCCAAATAATCGTAAGATTTGCTAGTCGCAATCTTTTTGGCTTCTTCGAAGGTTTTCATGGCCTCGTCTAATGCTGTAAAATTTATACACAATACAGATACAATAAATATTCTTTCGTTGATTGGATCAGGGTTATAATAATAAAATCAGCTAAAAATTCTTGTAATGAAAGTCAGCTACATCAAAGCTACATGTTATACCTTCTCCAAGAAGCAATCCTTCCATTCGTCTCTCAAAAAGAGTTTGATAATCCTGTATGAGGTCAAACATAGTAAGAATTTTACGAATTCTAGCACAAAAAGCATCAAATCGGCCGAAAACATGGGTTTCCGAGAAGGAGAATTCTTGTTCTGTGACTGCTGGCGAACATCGAACTAATCTGTATGTCTCTCTGTAGGCTCTTGAATGAAAATTAATTGTTATTTCTTAATATGTATATTTTTTTGTCATAAACAAGAACTGAAAATTATATAAAATTTCATATTCTCAACAGAATTAAAAAAAAATTTTTAAACGCTTATTCTGTCTCTCTCGCAAAAACGAAAAACTTGAAAAAATTACAATAATAATAAAAAAAATAAAATTTACTAATTAATTTTTATAATATTACTGTCCAAAATTTAATTATTACTTGTTTAGACGTAGACAATGTTTAAGTCTCGATCGAGCGGCTACTCGATCTTGCCCCCAAACCGTTTCCCGGCCTCTTTTCGTGACATAATCTCGACAAGCAGCAATCATCTGATTCGTGATTTTAATCATCAATGAACTTGTCCTTTCCGAAGTATTATAATATCTCGAAACGCTGTATATCAGTCGAACGGTCTGCAATAGCGACACAAGCGAATCTCGCATTTTGACCTACGGATATGAAAGTCTTTATATAATCCAAAAATGTTTGCATTATTTAAGATTTAAGTTATGTTGCAATGCCTTGCGAAAAAATTTCCTTACAGGATCATCAAGGTAAAGGCAATGACAACACTTTTCGAGTGCTTGGATAAATTTCGCGTTATCTTTTGCTTCGTTGTAGCAGTAGGTCACTTCATCTTCTGCGTCAACCCAGTCTTTAATTAACTTTGATCGTGCAACTTGCAAACACAGAAGTGACATAATGACTTCGTGATCCTGCAATTTTTTAATATACAAAAATACGAGCTATTAATTTACACAGCATTAAAATAAGTTGATAAAATAAAATGTGCTATTACGCAATTTAATATGCAAAATTAGAGAGAGTCATAAGAGAAGTATATGATGAAACCTGTAAACGGTTGACTAGTTGACTAAATTGCGCGCCTCGTCGCTTCCAATATTCAAGTTCCTGCTGCGGTCCAGAGTTATCGTTTTCTCTTTTAACTTGTTTACTTTCCGCCATAAAGTCTTTGAGTTTCTTAATCCAGTATTTCACTCGCTGCTCAACTTGTTCAACGGCATTCTCTTTCGCTATGAAAGCCTTTGCGTCTTCGAAATTGTGCACTTCTGTCATCATCGGTTCGCAGTCGCTGAATATACTGCCCTCAAGTGCTACTTTCTCGCAAACTGCAAATATGTAAATATGAGCAAATATTTACAGCACAATAGTTTATCACGTAACGTAATTATTTTTTTCGATTTGCCGTGATATGAGAAGAAAATTATTTTTACACCGACACAAAAGCAAAAGTCCAGAACTGTATAGAAATTTGCAAAACCCACCTTTCAGAGCGCTGCAGAAAGATCTCAAACCCGGCAGCAAAAGACTTTTAATCATCGAGCAATCATCTTCACCTTCCGCGCCGGGATGTGCTAACGCATCCATGAACACTTGCTCCACGACTCTCTGGATAGAAGTGATCACACCTGTTTTCATTGTATCTATCACACCCGTGTACAGATCTTTTTGGAATCCTTCCTCCGGTAATTGCTTCGACACGCTGATTCTATACAAATAATGCGCAAGGAAAAATAATTTAACAATAATTAATATATTTTCAAAATAGTGCGACAAATAGCACAAAGCAGCATGCTATAATTATTAGTCTGAAATTTGGTAATCTCACCTAAACATAAAAATACAAATGCCTGTACAAGGCACTTGCCAGCCGTCAGTTAGAAAAAGCTTCTTCTTCGGTGGCTCTTTCGGTTCTTTTTGCTCCTTTACTTTTGATGCAGTTGCGTTTGGAGCTGCTCTAGAAGCTACCGTCTTTGGCTGTACCTTTAATGATTTTTTAATTTATTTGTGGTTTAAATTGTTTAAAAATTGACGATCTTGTACCGTATCAGTCGCAGGTTCGGGCTCTTCAACCTCTTGATAGTACCAAACAAGAGTGGATCTCATATGAGGCACAAACAACTGATTGATCTCATCCAGCATATCACCTTCAAAAACGTTATCCATAACTTCGTGACGAGACAATTGCGTCGCATCCATCAAGAGCTGAAAAGCGAACTCCAGCCGGGGATCCATTTCCCCCCGTCTCGCTTTTCTCTCGCATTCCTCCCGCCGTTTCTGTAAGTACAGCAATAATTTTCACAGATGATATTATAACATGTCAACAATGTGCAAGAATTAATAATATTCAATTACATTTAAATTTATCGAATCTATAATACGAGTGCGCATTTAATTGAACTAATTGCATATTAATTTAAACACTCAATATTTATAATTTTAGCTAATAATAAATATATTATCAATATGCATTATTGATAGCACACGTTCAAAATTAATGATGCATATGAAACATATTCTTGCCACTATTGGCGACAACTGAATTTGTCGAATGGTATTTTTCTTTTATTATTCGAAATATTATTGATATCAAGTCGGTTCTGCGAAGCATTAACCTGGAGAGCATCTTCAGGACCTTCCTCGTCGCTACCGTTCTCGGAATTGTCCGATTTCTGCTTGATAATCTGCGGTCCTTGTACGAACATGACGGGTAGAAAGTGACACGTGGCTACGTTCAAAGCTCACTGAGTAGAGAGGTGCAAGTTGCACTGAAAGCTACCCTAATCTACAGCAAATTTCTACAGGCGCGCAAGGTGGTGAAAGGGGATGGCTCACAGTGCCACGATTTCGTGTCTGGCACCGCCCTTCGACGCACCATTCGTGTCGTGTGGGAATTTCCGCACGACTCGACCCTTGGTAGTCGATATCACTATATCGTAGATGTTTTCCTTAGGAATCAGCAAATGTAGTCGCAGCAAATGTAGCAATTCCTATAGACGCGAAGTCATGCACGAACGAACGTAAATTATACGTTCAGATACTTATCAGATCTTTGATAACAACTATTTTTACTACTAGCTAATAATATGCCATACACTCTACATGCTGCGAGTTTATTTAAAAATAATCTCAAGACCTTTTTGGTAAAATAGACATATTATATTGTAAAAAGTGTTTTGTTACATTTAGAAAATATTGGACATGTAAGATATGACAGTAGCAGCGAGCTAATAGATATTCTAATGTGTAAAAACTATTTGTGAATTAAAAATAGCTAAATTTACACTAAAATTAAAATTTACATTTTATTTGTTACGAGAATACGGAATTATAGCGCAGTAATTAATTTGCCAAAGAATTCAACGTGTTCAAATTTTGTTATCAAATGCTATATTTTTTTTTAATTTGATTTATTCAATGCTACGCTCAGAACGTTGGAGGATACGCAATTTGCATACAATCATTCACGTACATGCTGAAATTTTCTAAATTTCGAAGATACTGGAGTAATGTTCCATGGATTAGCAATAATAAATGCAACGAGAATCAAAGGATTATCAATCATGGTAATCAAATTATGCGAGCACGCGATCTACTGTTTACGGATATGACTTGCAAAATCTTAATACAACATTTATACACACGTGATGTCGCAAAATAAGCCACGTTGATCGTACTTTACATACATAGAACATTGTAGGAAATTCTGGATTCAACCGACACGCAATTGCTTTCTACGTATCCGATGTAGAAGTGTCGTTTGCGTGCAAAGTTGCGCGTTGCACTTTATTAGTTTGTTTTCGGCACGTGCGATTTGGCAGATAAAGTTGCAAATTGGAAACTTTCGCAAAGTTAGAAAATAAATCTTCCTGACAGGTTCTACCGTAAATTCGCTAAAGGGCACACGTCCAACTTTTTGACCGATATTATTGTTTGAAAGATTTTAAAAAGCGGAAATATATCTCGCATGACATTTCATATGCATACATTTTTATATCCACACAGGCATACGTAAGAAATATGGTAATTCGGTAGCTGTTGCTCCTGGTACCGATGGGAACCAGGCATAATGCTCGGATAAATCGATAACACTTGTCTAAGCTATTCTCGTAAATAGACATATCTAAACTATTACTAATGGTTTCTGCAATTCTGCTTACTCTGGCTTCGTCGCTAGTTTCCGTCATCTCGCGAGTCTTCCGAGACCTTCTTTTGCGAACAAGACACCACGAAACGATGCACGCCTTTCTGCAGTCTGCGCCCTAATGCGACATTAACTGCGTTTCTCCGCCTTTTAGCCAGCACTCATCCTCCTTGTTTCGCTCTATATATCTGTCACTTTTCCTCATTCTTCTATTACTGTCTCCAAAAATATTATAAAGTAAAATAAGAAGTCTTTAAAAATAGACAATTTTGATTCTACTTATCGTTAAATATTCACAAGACAATAATTTGCATTATCAATACGGAGTTTAAATTGCAATTTGACTGAAATGATATGATATTATTTGCCATTAAGAAATAACTGATTTGTGAAATAATATAGGCCGTTATTGATTAATCCACTGTGAATGCAAAAGCTGCTTTTGAATTATGTACTTGATCATTATAATCAATCAATGTCCGCGCAACATGTTGCAGATGTTAATTAATCATTCTCTGATGTATATATGCATATATATAAAACGATTACATCGACGTATATATACATATACATACATATACATACATACATATAATCAATGCATGAAATCAATCTATGAAATATAATTTTTATTATAATACATATATTAAAAATCTAAAATATTTTAAATTTATAAATTAAAATTTAATCTATTGTTTGCAATTAAAATTATTGCAAAATAATATCAAGTATATATTGACCAACCTTTAGTATTGACTGATGGCTTTCCCTAACCCCTCCAGCAAGTAGTACCAGTTCGTGTCAGTTCAGCCGCACTCGAAAGCCCATGAGTTGTGTTTCATGTTCGTGTCGCAATAAAATTAAGATGGATTTACACAATAACAGTCTGCGTAGTAGATAATAAAAACTGCTTTAGTAAATAATTTATCTTTTTTGCAAATAAACTTATGATAAATTGTGATAAAAGTTTTTTTATTTTTTGACGCTGACATTAGAGAAAAGCCAATTTAAATATCATTAATGTTTTAATACTGAAATTTTGTCAGAAAGTAAAGAAATGTAGAATAGGATAATATATAAAATAATTTTTTGTGACTAATATCTATTTTTAACTAAAATGTATTTACAAATATATTTAAAAATCATAGGGCAATAGCTCATTTAATTTTCTATACTCAAATGTATAATTAAATTAAAAAGGGATAAATAAAGATGGAATTTTGAAGAAATAAAATGCTATCGAGTCTTATATCGAGTGAAATATGCGGCATCTATGCCCTCTCTGTTTATTATTGGAATATCTTTCACTAAACTAATCTCTAGGACAATAATCGTTAATATTGTACCATTATCATCGAATCATATCACGTTATCATCATGACATATCTAGTACACTCATTGTTACGTTCGGATCGGGATTGCTTCTACGACGATTCGCGCGCGGTTTTCTTTATTTCTATTATTAATATACTTTTAAGACGGGTGCACGTCACATGTTATACTAACATATTATTGTTTATGCAAAGTTTACTTTCAAAATATATATTGAGATAACATTCCGTATTTTGTTAGAACCGATTAAGAATGGCACTCATTTTGTTCTGCTTTTACAATGCGCCCGTCTTAAAAAATATCGCTTATTATTTCTATTTTGATTGCCTACACGCGAGTTAACATTTTCTCGGCCAAGTAAAACGATTCACAAACTGCATCAAAAAGTTTTCGCATTAGAAGATAACTAATATAACGTAGCTTTTGCTTCGTTTCGAACTTACTTATTTAAAACATAAATACCAAAGTCGGATATAGATTTACACATTTAATATTTCCCTTGAAATATTAACTTGCAGTTGATATTTAATAATTAGGAATAATTTTTAAAATAAAAATAAAATGTTATATTTAATGTAAACTTAACTTGTGACAAAAATTTCTAATTGTTTGCTGATGTCTTGATCACTTTTTATCATTCTTAGATTGTCCTGCAGTTAGTTGGCGATAACTTTTTCTTTGAGTCGTTTTATATTAATTTATATATTAAACAACAACTATTCATATTATGTTATGTAATTATGTTACATGTATTTCGTATATAACAATTAGACAATAAAAAAGTGATGTTGTCTGTAAACCGTCTCATGCGGTCGGCAAATTGCAACTTGCGTCTCTTTTTTGCGCTGCTCAAAACCGCGAAGCATTCCTGATCTGTAAGTAATTTTTCAAAACGCCACTTTCTACTTTATATACTAAATGTGGTAATCTTAACCGCTGATGCGTGTATGTTAAATTATAATTATGATACATATTAAAACTTTAACTCCGAGATAAATTTGCTGCGGATATCAAGAAAAAAATGTTTCGTTGGGTCACATAACAAATATATTACATTTGTAAATAAATTAACATGATAAAATTACGTCATAAATTTTTTAGTCCTCCGGAAATTATGGTATTTGTTAGACATATGTATATAGTGTCTCAAAATCAACAGATATTTTTACAATAGATTTTTCAGTTAATTTAGAATCAATTATTTTTTAACAAAAATATTGCAATAACTCATTATTTATTACAATTTTCCAATTATTGCTTTTACATAATAAAACAAAGTAAAATACGATATACTTTTGTAACTAGAGTTACAAATTAAAATTTTATTAAAGTAAATTATTAAAGTAAAAAATCTGATTGAAGAATATTGTTTTGTTATTTACTTAGTTTGAAGTTTTTTTTTTTGAAAAATTTTGGTGTTTCTATATTTTTGCCAAAAAAATCGATTTCAAATTAATTAAAGAATCTATATATCAATGCACCTTTAATTTACTAAATAAATTATACATTTATTTTTCACAAATACGTCTTCCGGAAGATTAACAAATACGATAATTTCGTGATGCGATTTTTGCAGTTACCACATCAAGCATACAATTCGATTCTGCGCGAAAATCGTCGATCGCGGTACCAAGATAATCGTGAACGTATACACGCGATCGATCAAAACGATCCATTTGCGAACAATCAGTTAAAACATGTAATAACAGCACGCTCATGGTGAGGTACGTTACAAAACTAGTACAAAACTAGCAGCTAGGTACAAAAATGTAATTAATCGTTAATAATGAAGGCCGCCCGGGAAACTGCCAGGGACCAACTCTGTTCGCTCTCTATCTTCTTCTATATTCTTCCTCGTCCTTTTCGTCATCTGTTTCTCTTTTTATTATCAGATTATCCATTTCTGTCGGTGTATATGCTGCAATAAACATATACTCGAGCGACTTCGATCTTTTCTTCGGTCCTGCGATCTTGCATTTGCACGCGCAATTATTCAGCACTTTTCTCTTGAGCGACTTTCACGTGTTTAGAATGTCGTAATTGCTGAGGAATTTAATACTGCTCGATTTTGGCGATTTCGCGAGTGCAGAGTGGTGCGAGATTTATTTCTTATCGCTTAACTTTAAAATTATAATGTGCCACCATTGTAAATGGCTTTACTTCGAATTGAAATCAAAATTATAAAAATTATTCTATTTGAAATCATTGTCTCACTCAATAAATATATATTTATAAAAATATTATAGTTAAATTTTGTCAGTACTAAACGTTTATATTTTTTATCTAAAATAAATCTATATTTTGTTACTTGATATGTAAATTATAACAAATGTAAGAAAATGTCATAATATGTTTGTAATTTCTTTGCTCTTGAGAAAAATGCAAATAAAAATTTAATCAATATGCAAAAATTATTATGTGTCTCAGATAGACAGGTCTATAAGATAAGAACTTTTGAAATTTATTGATTGTAACTTTAGGATTTTAATTATAAATAGAAATTTTATTATAATAGAATATAATTTTAATCATAACAAAATAATAGAACCAAATTTTCACTTCATCTGTGGAGAAAGAAGTTCTTCGATGTTATACAACTATCTCAAACCACTGTGCGCCGACGAAGCTAAATTACAGGAATAAAGCTTACGATATTCGGATCTGGACGAAAGAACCGGATCACGAGCAATTCTATACGTACAAAGAGATATTCGCAATAAAATCTGTTAAAGTATCGTAGCCGAGCCCGGCTAAAAGTTGTCGCAGTTTCGTGAAATCTTTTTAGGGAAATATTTTTTTGGGGCCAGACGTTAATAACACAAATTACGCTTACTTTTATTATTTTTATTTGCATTATTCTCAGCGCAATAAGTAATGCAATATTTTATCTTCATCATTGAGCTAAAGTAATTTATTGTATGATTACATCGCCGTTACTCATTGTACTGCAATAACCCATATAACAATTTTCGATAATATACGAAAACGTACGACAATTCGTTACATCTTATGAGATTTGGGAGATCTTCGAACATTCCCCGAAATTTTTCTCAAGTTACAGGTCGAATCTGCGTTACTTTTTAGCCGGGTTATTAGCCGATTAACACAGCTAACGCTCGAATTAGAAGATAGTCGATAGTTTTGTTTGATTCCGTTGTATAGTTAAGATATCATAATACTCGTACCATCTGGAGCATCATTTACGTCTTCTCGTTACGTTAAATAAATTGCATTATCTATCAATAAAACAACTCAGAAATCTAACATCTATATTTGCTGATTTTTAAATATGTTTTTCGTATAACATTAACATTAATAAACATTTGATTAAAAACGTAATGAAATGGTATATGAATCTTTTATTTTAAAATACCATCATATGGTAGTTTATTTAAAATTGCAAAAATTATGTGCAAAAATAAATTATTTGAAATCATATAATTAATTGTCTAGATATTTGTACTTTACAATTTAAATATTTCCATTCTATATTTAAGATAACGAACAGACGTTTCGGACTGTTTTTCTTCATTCATCGAGAAGCATTTTTATGCTTTTTCAATCCTTTAATTGTGATGAATTAAACGACGTTAAGCGTTTCTATCGGATCAATTTCTTAGAGAAAAGTGTTATACTTGAATGAAACATATTAGAATCTACAGTAAAAAATAGAAGCTGAAAATTTCTAGACACCGATTCGCATATTGATTCTCATTTACAGAATTAATGTTCGTCGGAAATATCAGAACGTGCCCACACATCCACGCGAGCACTACTCAGGAGCATAGAAGAGATATTGACAAATTGCATTGTTTTCTTTTCAATTTAGCGACATTACGTGGCAGTTCAGCTACGCCTAATTCTAGCAATTCTATGCTATTTATAGTAGGCGTCACAAATCTGATCACGTCCGCTAGTCCTTGCGTCGAAACCTTTGATTTCGCGCAAGACACAGACAATTCTTTCACTGATTGTGAGATAAAAAATTTTGTGAATTTAGATAAAAGATTTTATATTTTCTAATCATTCAACCCGCAATTTTAAATTTTATTCTTTAATCTACATAACTACAATAAACGTATGAAAATCTCTTTTTGATTTAGTAATTTCTTTTGCATTAATATTACGATCTTTATTTTTAAGCGCTTAGATTACGCTCTTTTTTTTTTATAAGCGCTTAAATACGTTTTTTTTATATTTTTCTAGATCAGAAATATACACAAACATTTTTTTTTATAATTTTGAACAAATGTTTGCGTATATTTTCTTTGAATCTTAATTTAACAAATTGCAATTGTTTAAAATATTCAGTATCTATGAACTAGAAGGCAAATCAGAACATTAGCCTGTGTCTTGCACTCGCATTGTTGATTGCGCTATGCATAAATTTAAGCAGTCGAAAAGATCTCTTTTTCTTTCACATATGAGATTGCTTTCCGAAACCGCGATTTTCTATAGCTCCTACATGCTCTTTTCATTTGCCTTCTCCTAGAGTACTCAGTTCCAGTTCCAACTTCATGAATTATACATACATGAATTGTACATAGGTTGTCCAAACATCAAGTTCTCGAAATTGCGCCTCGAGTCGTCATGATTTACGTAGACGTGCGAAAATTGGACGCAATAGTTTACGCTCTCATGCAAAAAAGATGCCACTAGCCGATTTCGTATATAGCATTTTGTACAAGATTAGTAATAAAGCTTATAGCGGACGCCGAGTCAGAATGCCTGTAAAACTTGCGTGATATGAATTAAGAATTAGATTAAACGACGATATTTTGATTTCCGTGGAGAAAGTACTCTCTGTTAACCCGGTAAGTCAAGAAAGCCAACGAGAGCCCAGCTAGATCTTGAAGAGAGAGACACTTCCTCTCCCTCGTCGGAAGATTTGCTATTCGATAATTGAGCAATCGAATTTCAGCTCGTATGCTACGAAAGCGAGTCTCGGTGAGCGGAGAAAATTATTCGAGATATTAAATTCGTCAATCGTTATCGCGAACTAGAATATTGCGCGCAATTTCTCAACATTCGGCACATAAGTTGGTGGACTCGCAGTTACCAACATATATAGCTCTCTTATTTGCATGCCGTTAATATTTTCAAATTTCTATCATTTCTAATTAACTAATTATACGAACTATTTTATTTCGGTAATTATAATATAGATGGATGACTATATTTTTTGGTGCCAAAATGCACCGTCAGTGGGAATGAAATAAGCTCATTACTCGGCATAAACGTGCAAATTCTTTGATTTGATGAATTCTTTCCGTAGCTTCTCGACGAGAAAGGGGAAGTTTGGGAAAAGCCGGCGGCTAGGAGGAAGCGCGTTAGAAAAGCGTAAAGTTTGCACGCTTGGCACTCGATTATCTTCCATCGAGGGCATTCTACGGGCACGACGACATTTCGACGATGCAAAACTCGTCGCCGACGACGCGTCACATTCGTACGGGCATCTCCGTTAATTGACTAAATTTCTCTCCCCGCATATATTCTGGATCAGTTTTACGATTGAATCTGCGGCCTGCTCGTGCAGCAATTATCAGTAAGTCACGTTTTTTTCGCATAATTCGCTGCGACATTTATTGAGCGTGGTCTTACGATGTAAACTAGGCGAAGATTAGTTTTAGATTAATGCGCGTGGAACGCGCGCGACTCATCGTTTTACCGTTTTTATCTTCGTATACGGCGCAGAAAAACGTCCCGATTAACGGGACTCTAATTAACGGACTCTAGCGTCTTTGAGCGAAGCGAGATTATTTTAGAGAAATGGACGCGCGTCGGCGGAGTCGCCGAATTCCGCCGGCAACATATTTCGCAAAATTTGGAACACCACTCGCAATCTTTTCACTACGATGTTGCGCGTTGTTCTTTCGTATAAATAAACCGTAATATATAATAAACCATAATCTTTTTTTTTTTTAATAATTTATTATAAAAATTGAGTGCGTTAAATATTGATCATAGTTTTGATTATTTTTACAGTTCAATACAAGTGATATTTTGAGCTATCTATAATATCTGACACGTATATAAGACCTGCTTTAATATAATACTTTTTAGCAGAGAATATCTTTTAACTATTTCTGTAGCATTGTTCTTATGATATTGCAATGAGCAAGATAGTGCAACTTATTTGCTCGAATAATAGAGTTTTTCAAATTTACTTTTATGTTTCCTTAAAATTTACCCTTCGTATCTTAAGGTTTTTAGCGTTTTATAAATCTTTTATAAGCAGGAAAAATTTTGCTTGAAAATCTTTCTAAAAAATCTCCAAGAAAAAATATATAACATACTATATATAAATTTACATCTTATATAACTATATATACATATATCTATTTTTTTACTATTTTATCAATACAGATAAAGAATGCAGATAATACAATGATAGTTCTTTACAAAAAATTAATTTTCCACGGATAGAAAACAGAATTTTTAAAATTTCACATTTCTTTACCCGCTAGAATGTTCGAAAAATTTAATCCTTGTAATATTTCTTTCACAATATTAAAAAATTTTTTTCCACATTTCTGTTTCTTTGGTTAATTCATTATTTGTGACGCATTTTTTATTTTCGTGAAAATTGTTGATTTCAACTGAATTTTGGAGCCAGTGTCAATACTTATAAGCTGCAATCTTTATTGATTTATGTACCATAGAGCGCAAAGTTTGAAGTTTGAAAGAAATATCTTGCGAGTGGTGCCAAGATGCGAGGACGATCCTTGGATAGAGATAAGAGCGACGATCTAGAAACGCGCCGCAAATAGAATAGAATGCAACGTAAGTGCTGCTTCTTGTAGACATTGTCGATGTGGCGTTAGTCATCGTCGTCAAGGCCGAGGAGTTCCGGTGGAAGTCGTCTGTGCCGGCAGAATATGGTGAGGCAGAGTACTCGTACGGCCAGCCGGAACTGGGGACTCAGAATGCTGAGGACGATTGCTTTCCAGAAGCTGTTCATGATTCCCAGCCACACCACGGCAAAATGTAAAAACGGCACCTGCGACGGATAAAATAAGGATTAGACTAAAAATGCTGGCAAAATTATACACTGCTGGACAAAATTATAAGACACTTGGTATATATCTATATATCATATATTCAAAACAAGAAACTGTACATTTCATATGCCATTTTTATTACTTGTCATCTCTTGGATGAGTAAACAAAATTTCAACTTCGCCGGCAATATAATATAAAAGTGAGGAAAAAAAACGTGAACATAGACGACTTATGATTGGACAAAATTATAAGACATCAATCCATGATTAGCATTTCTGCTGTGAAAATTTCTCTCTAAATGGCAAATTCTATTATATTAATATTTGGTGAAACCTCCTTTCAATTGTATCACATCTAACAACCGATTCCGCAGTGTCTTATACAATTTTTTAATACGTTTTTGTGGTAGTGCGTTCCAATTATGAACAATACTCTCTTTCAGTTCATTAATATTGTTGAACTGCTTGCCATCTGCATAAACACTTCTGGATAAATCTCCCCAAATATTTTCTATGATGTTCAGGTCGGGTGAACGGGCAGGCCATTTTAAAACTTGAATTTTCTTTGAAATAAAAAATCTCTGAACAGCTTTTGCGGTATGAATAGCAGCATTGTCTTGCTGAAAAATATAATCTTGGTTTGCAATATGACCTGCATACTTATTTAATTGTTCGTCTATCAATTTAATATATTTTTCGCTATTCATACGGCCTGGTATGAAATTTATTTGTGTTTTTCCGTGGTAACCAATACCGGCCCAAACCATAACACTTCCGCCGCCCATTTGGCGACGACTTAAATATTCTTCATTTTTCCGCAAATCATGGAAATAAAAGTTCCACCCATCAGGCCCGTCCAAATTAAACTTTTTTTTATCACTGAAGATGACTTTTTTCCAATTCTTCATCCAGTGAACATGTTGACGACCGAACTCCAATCTTCCTACTTTGTGCTGTTCGGTTAAAGGAGGCCGTTGTTTCAACTTCTTGCGTTTCAGGTGCTTGCTCTTCTGTAGAATACGACGCACGTTTCTCAAATTTGTGTGGACATCAGCTTCTGCGGCGATTTGTCTTGCAGTTCCCTTGAAATTAGAAGCAATTCGCAAAATTTTACGCTTTTCGCGTTCAGATACAGCACGGGGTCTTCCACTCCTCTTAGTTTTCCCATAGGTTTCTGGATCTTTAAGGACATTATAAATAACACACCAACTTCTGTTCAATAATTTCGCAATTTTCGTGATGCTATAGTTTTCTGAGTGCAAAAGATGATTCGGTCGACTTCACTTTGATTTAGTTTGGTCCCACGAGGCATTATTTGTTACTATCCTGAATACGTGCACTAATATTATCAAAAATACTGCTAATTTATATTTCTATATCCACTAGAAGTCGAATAGCTACTGATAGGAAGTGTAAGAATGTCAAACAAATCAAGTGTCTTATAATTCTGTCCAACCACCGTCAGCCTTTGTTTACATTCTTTTCCCTGACTTCTGTGTTGTATTTCCGCCGAGTTTGAAATTTTGTGTATCTATTCAGAAAATGGTCAATTACACATAGCGTGCATGAAATATACACTTGCATAGATTTTTGCAAAAGAATATAAATAAGTGCGAAGTGTCTTATATTTTTGTCGAGCAGTGTATGCTAATTCTTATTCATATTTATATCACATATAAGCTGCAATGAGCTATCTTTGTTGCAATTCTTAACTTGAAATTCTAATTATCTTTTATAGGTATTTTGTTAATATAATCAAGCGTCTTTGAGGACAATTTTAATAATTGCAGTGTATAATTCGAATTTTTAATGGCTATTATACATATGATAGAACAGAATTAATATCTTTCTAATAAAGCGAGAATTAGAACTGTTTCTTATTAGTTAAAAATTAGACAAGTAAGAAAGAAATCTCTTTAAATGAATAAAAAATGGCACGATTTCGTACATAGATACTTGGGAAATATTCTGTAGCAGTGTGGCACGAAGTTACGCCCTTGTATGTGAACTTCTAACGCTTATATACCAGCGAGCATTCTTTATTAACACATGCTCCGCTTTACCAACGTGTTGGCCTACATTTTTAATCGTCTCATTTTCAATGCTTCTTTTCACGAAGTTTAAAGTTATTTTAAAACCATGTCAATGTCAAACAGGTACGATTATATCAAGAATCACAAATGTCTCGATTGTTTTTAAATAGAAATAATCATTTTTACACTCGCAATATGCCATTCCACAATACGCGAGCATAATAGCGGAATAGCTTGCACAATCGAAATATATCCGATATACAATCCGATATTATTATATAAGATGTATAATTTTTGAAATATCAATTCAATAGATAAAACGATCGCACGGCGATCGCATCATTACCTGAGGGGGTCCGTTAAAGACCGCGTATATTCTTAGCCCGGCATACGGTGCCCATGACACACAGAAAGCCATCACTAAGACGAAAGACATGATGTGACTCGGATTGCTCAGATTTTCCGACAGCGCTGTCGCGTACTCTTTATCGTGAATTAGCACGCCGGACTTTAGTCGCCTCATCATAGAGAAGATGTAGAAGTACGTGTAGATGATGGTGATGACCGACGGCCCCAGCACGAGGATGGACAGTGTGATGGTGTATGCGGCCATGTTACCCCAGTCGAGCATGCAAATGAAGGCCTCGCGGTCGAAAATCGGTTTGTTGAAACCGAGTAGGGGCGGGCAGCACATCATCGCCACGCTGATCCACGTGAAGACCATCCAGCATTGACACCGAGTTTTCGTCTGTACGGTTTCGTACCTCAATGGTTTCCTGTCAAATTTGTGAAACGGCAGGCGTTATTGGCATTATTAAAATTATGTTAACATTGTAATTGAGAGAGAGAGAGAGAGAGAGACATTTACCTGACAGCCAGATAGCGATCTACAGAGATCCACATAAAGGTGTACACTGATACCGCCCAGAGTGTGACTTCCAAGTAACCGACGAGTCGGCACACGATGTCTCCATAAACCCATCTTCGTAAATACGCCGGATATACCGAGAACGGAACCACCAACAGACCACACAGAAGATCTGCCGAGGCGAGTGATAACAAATAGTAATTTATCACCTCGGAGGGGCCTGCAAATAAATCGTTTCTAATGTGACGTTTTATCATTATCAATTCTTTCGCTGGCGCAACGATTAGATTAGCAAATCTATTTTTATTTTAATTAACAGTCTATATTGGTGGTAATTAATCAAGGCGATTGTAGGATTTATCAGATCGAAATATTGAAACGCATGGGCCTATTTTATTAACCAATTTATTTCATCGACAGCATGCGATATAAGCAACTAATAAAATAATTGTATTGTTTACACTTTTAAAAGGAGACAGTGTGTGATACACGAGAGAGAATGAGAGGATGCACTTAAGCACGTTTGCCTAAGCTACGGCAACCAAAGTCAACATTATGAATATAACGTTAAAACATAAACTGCACACGAATACGAAGGCTTACCGCGGAAGTTGAGGTAGGAGACGATGATGAGAAGATTCGACAAGATGATGGCGATGGCGACCACGAGGATAAGGATCGCCTGCATGAGAGCCTCCAACGAGGGCTCCTCCATGCCGCCACCCTTTCGAGCTGCATCCCCCCACCTGCCCTTAGATGCTTTTATCCTTCACCCTCTTCGCAATCTTCCCGTTACCAGGTACCGGGATCTTCTCAAAGCTTGCACTGATCCACCTTCGGCTTCTGCACGCTTGCCTTCTTCCGTTATGTACTTTCCTAAGACTACTTCGTATCCTCGGAAAGAAATGTCAGAAGTCCTTAGGCAAATGAGTCCTCGATACCGAGATTGTGTATTCGAGGATCTTGGTATACAATTGATGTCACCGTGTCACTGTAAATTTCGAGAAACTAATCATTTACATAATTAGAATTACTAATCTCATGTGCATAATATAAAAACGAAATTTTTGTTGAGAACTTTTTTGAGTTATTACTCTCTCCAATAGCAATATTGTGCAATTCTATTAAATAATAATTAATTAATTAATTATATAATGTTAATTTATAATAATATTATTAATTATATAATAATAATAAATTAATTAATTATTAAAATAAAGCAAGAAGATATTTTTTTAAGTGTTAAATAGTTTTTTTAACGTGTCAAGAAGAAATACTTTCTTTTATTTGATTTTGCAAATACCATTGTTATTTGTGAATAGTAATAATAATTTCTAAACCAAGACTGACGCAATTTTCAATTTTGGGGTCAGTGTGTCAGCCTAACTTGGCCATAGAATGGAGGTGACGTGGGAAAATTGCATTCCGAAGGGTAGATCGGTCGGATAATATAATGTGGATGGAGGGTATTAGACAACTTTACGGATCGTTCGTGTCGATAATACACGTTGCCGCCATATATCTACTTTTCTTCCTTTTTATTTTTCCGCGAAAGCCACGTATTTCTCTTCTTACGGGAACGCTCCGCAAACGACTCGCACAACGCTTTCCCTCCCTAGGTATCGATCGCCATTCATAATTTAGCTAAGTCGATCCTGAATGGAGGGGTGTATCGTGTAACATCGTGCCGAGACCATCGCGTTTCCCGAATTAAAGTGGAGCTGCCGCACTTTGTGTACGATGAGGTGATGCGATAACACGTGACACCGTTGACAATGTAATGAAAAAGCGTGGCAATTCTCGCCGTTGCAATTTCTTTTCTATTTACTTATTCATTATTTAGAAATGTATAAAGTTATATGATTGCTAACTGATTAAAAAAAAAATCTCACAGTCAGTGTCGATTGTACTGTCGTACGTTTTTGTGAAATAAAGAGCATCGAAGATACAATTTGTTAAATTTCGAGATTAAGCTCGACAAGTTTAAATCTTTGACTGGACATTTCCCACGGCATTATATCATGTTTTCCATTAGATTGGCCTTTTAACAAACTCACAACCAGCAACAATTCAAAACCAGTTGCAACTCTGACCGACGTGTGGGCGGTTACCCACATGAAAGCGATGTAATCAACTCGAAGATCGATACATGTCGTAATTATCGTCCATAATGCCTGCTTAATTATAAGCAACGCGTCGTAAGCACCGACACGCAACGCTCGAGACTTTGTTACATGAAAAGCAGCTTAATGAAGCCCCGAGTGTATTATGGCTTAAACAATTACGTTGCTGCGCTCGCTGGTCTCTCGCTTCGCCGCTACTGGTCGGTTTTCGATAACGCGTCATTCCGTTGTCAATTTTTTAATTTTATTCTTCTTTTAGCAAACATAAAAAAGCTTACAGTACAAATGTCGATTGGCAAAACTGTTGGAACGCAAAATAATCGTCTATAATTTTCTCTGCGGCGCAGTAACATTGATCGAACAAAAATGTATCGGGCTTTATGAGGAAACAATTTCGCTTGTTTCCTTGATGTATAGTTTACTGTACGTATATATTAATATCCCAACGTGATCGATATCTACTTGATAAAGTCAGAAATGTGGATATAATTTGATTTTCAGTCCATAAAATTGAGAATATTCGAATAATTTAATATTTGTATGATTTATAAGTATTGATGCTTAATAAATATAATATAGAAATTGTTATTATAAAATTATAAAACAATTAATTTTATTTCCATTATTTTAATCTATTACTTTAATCGAAATATTGATTGCTTAATGGAGTAAAATAAGGAAAGTTCGAATATGTCGACCGAAAACATGTCAATCAACGCGCCAATCAATACGGTCTTTATTAAAGTGTAAAATCGCCTTACAATGTAATAACTTACTTTCTCTTTATTATAAGAACGTATGAGGCGTCTTAATAATCGAAACTAAAGGATATCTTTATAGCTATATTTGTTTGGCTATTTGTATTTTTTCAACGATATTTTGTCTGCTTAACAAAAATGCTGCGGTATTAATGTTAAATTTTAGTCACAATTAAAAATAAAAATCATAATCTAAGTAAGCTTTAGTAAAGCAAATGACTAATAAAAAATATTTATTAGCTAATTTTAAGATGAATTTTATTTGAACAGAATTAATTAAAAATTTAGTTACCAACTTTTTAAATGCAATGTTAAAAATTTGTAGCAATTGTCTTTTTCAATTTCTTATCAGAGAAAAATCAGCTTTAAATTGATCAAATAAAAGTAGTTTAAAAAGTATTGGTTATTTCAAGACACCCAGTATATAGCAAAGCTGTCATACATTTGCCTTGTTCTTGCATGACTGAAGACAAACTTATGTAAGATTTGCCTATTAAGACAGGAAATTGCAACAGAAATGTCAAACGATGATTTGAACTATTCCAGCGCATAATCATTATTAATTTATTATTTTATAGAATAATATTTCGTATTTCGTATTTTTATATTTTGTATAAGCAAGTTTATAAGTAATTATCATAACACAGTAAAAATAATCATTTAATCTTTAATATAATTACAATTAAATTTATGATACGAACAAAGAGCAAAGCAAGATATGACAAATCCTGACACTAATAATTTATGCAATAGAAGAAGCATAAATAACTATGAAAAGAATATATATATAATTTCTATAGTGTAATCCATGTTATATAACAGAAAACCGTAACAAATCAGATTTAATGTGTTAATCATTTCAAGCTGATAAGTTATCTTGATTTTTTGCTCCTCTATCAATTCTATTTATACGCTATTATATGCCTAATAATAATCGCAGCTTATGTTTATATCCACAACATCGCTCTTCTATATAATAACGAGATCTATCATATTTAATCACCGTATATAATTATATATCCATTAATTCCCTTATCGCACGCGCGAACAACGCAGTGTTGAATATTCACGCTCGATACATTGTCAACAGTTTCACTTTCATTTACAATTTTCTTCGGCATACAGATCTATTAAGCCGAAAATACACATCAATTTTTAGTTGCTTCTTCTGTCATTACATCCACGTTTAATTCTATCCTTTAAAAATTATTTTTTAAACATTAGTCTTATGAATATTACAATTGTTGCAATATGTCACACGATATAATAAGCAATATGAATGTAAAAATTCATTATTTCTAGTTTTTCAATAGTAATTCGTAACAATTCATAAAACCAATTGATCCAGAAAACTCGAAGAAATTCCTAACTATCGAAAATCACACAGAAATAATCTGTAAAATATTTAGATTTCTTTTCTGATAAATAAAGACTGAAATCTAGCAGGAGTAGCTTAACTCATTTAAATCTCTAATTTAATCTTTAGTTCAATTCTTTAATCTAATTCAGTTTCCAATGTACGACCGTACAACCACACGAAGAATAAGAGGGTTGATCAAAACACGGCCTCGCAGGTTCGAACCTCTGCTATTTTTATCCATTCTCATATCCGATGGCAATCAACGGCGCGGTCTCATTGCGACCGACAAAAAGAAAGCACGGAACGACGCTTTTCCCGACGGGGCTCTTCAATTACCGTCGGGGCGAGAGCGCCTCTCCTATCGGGATGCACGATGATGAACAGGCGAAGCTGTGCCCGACACAGCACCGGTTACTCTCTTTTGTTTAGTTAACCGAATATTTGCCCATCCATGCGCATGTCTCGCGATAAGGGATGATCCACGAGCAACGGGCGCGCGCGAGTCAATGCACATCGCAGATTTTCAGAACGATAAAATCACGTTCTTGGTTCGCGACATACAATTTTAGCGGTCCTTTATGTGTACATTTATCAGTGTGGTTCTTTGCAATAACTTTTTAGTGGACTAAAAATGAGTAAAAATGTATGGATTCGAAAATATATGAATTTATTCGCGAATAAATGGTTTTAATAGCAAAGGAATATCTTTGTAGCAGCTTTAAGTTAAATTATTGAAAATTGAATCAAGTTTTTTACCATAGATTTAACATCAATTAATTTCAATTGTTAGACATTATTATATGTGAAGCGATAAATGCTGCGTAATTATGTGCAAATGTGAAATGTTATTATAAATTAGTAAGCTTAACAAAAATTCAATTGAATTTATTAAATTATTAAATTAATGTATTAACTAATTATAGAAAAATTACTGAACAGAAAACGGATTGTGATGCTTAGCGATAGGGGTCGCGGAACGAAAGACGTGTGATAGCGAGCGACAGAGAACTTAACTGAAAAACATTGAAAATGCTAGCTGCACGCGTTTCGACGTGCAGGAAACATCTTTGTGAAGCATTCATTGAGAGAAAATACGACTTGCGATTACAACGAACCGTGTAGATAACTGCGCAAATTTTCACTGCGGATCACTCGATTACTAGAATGCTGCAAAGACTCTATTACAGGAGAGACTTGTAACACTCTTCAATCTTCCCGCCTTTCCGAGTCGCAGCTTCCGAAATACCATCTTAGAATCCTACTGTCGCAGTCAGGCAAACGGAACGGAAAGGGAGAGACTGAAGCGATACGATGCCTACAAATCAGACTATCTCGGAGCGAATCCCCACATAATTGGGCAAGACGATAACGACACCGCGGTCCACGCAGCAGCCCCGATTTCGGATATTCCGCACGTTGCATCTATTACTTTCTGCCATCTTTAGCCGTATTCAACCGACACCACATACCTCCTCGGTCGCATCCTGATCGCGTGCACCAGCAGCTCCGCCGATGCCTGTCACAGCTTCCTATATTCTCTCTCTTTCTCTCTCCCTCTGCACCCTCTCGCGCCACTTTTCTTTGTGAACCCGGCCGAGTTGGCAGCGACAGCCGAGACGTCGTCCGTTGCGCCCGTTGTCGTCTTTATCGTCGTCGTTCTACGTATCACGCGACGCACTGCCTCAACGTTCTTATATATTCCTCCTGCTCTGCTAAGAGCACTCGAAGAGATGCACTCGTAAAAGCACACCGCTATGCACGCGCAAACATACTCGCACCCTCGCTCGACCCCGACCGGGACTTCTACCACTACTGGCAGAGAAGTCCGCTTTTCTCCCTTGGCCCGGGCGTCGAGGCGTCGATACGGCGTCGACGACGCTTGCGCGCCGCCCCCGATCCACCCTTTCCCACCCCGGACACTTTCGCGGCGCATTCGAGGCTGCGACCCTGCCGTCGCGACGCTGAGCGCCCCGCGCGTACGCCGTCATCACGGCGAATTCGCTCGCAAATCTTGGCGCAGCGAGAAAACCGGTGATTTCGGGATTGTCACACGCGCGAGCGGAAAGAGTCGTTCGCGGAAATCGTCGGATCGGTATTCTCAGGGCTGTCCTCGACAGAATGTCTTCGTGACATTTTCTTATCGATCCTCGGTTCCACGAGTCCGCTGCCTTCGACGTTTCCGCCTCGCTACACTTCGCAGATTCGACTTATCAGATTTCTGTGTCGAAGAACATTTAAATTGCGATGCAGGAAGTTTCAAACTTAACCAACTCTTAAATATTACTAAATATAGAGTAGAATGCGATAATTATATTATAATTCTTCGCGAAATAAAAAAACAATCCAAGGAGCAGAGAAACCGATGATAACGAAAAGTATTAAAAAATGCACATTAATTTATATAATTCTTACATCAATGAGTAATCAAGCAGTTTGAGCGATTTAATAAAATTATCTACCGAGAGATTATTTTACGTGTTAGTTTGTTAAAATGATTATTTTTCCTGTATAAATAAAATGCCAATAATTTTGTGCAGATATCGGCTTTTTATACAAATTTAATCAATTAGCCTCTTCATTGATTATCCTTAAATGCGCTCATCAAGCTGTCTCCGTTAATTTATTCGTACCGTTTTGATTAAAGTCGGAAAAACGACGATCATTCTCATGAGATGGTACGATGTTACGTACGCTATTAATTCCAGCAGTACGTTAATTCCAGCAGATAGAACTTTAAATTAGGTCTTTAGGCAGTTCATCAGAGAATTTTCTTCGGCGTCACGTAGGGTAATTATTTAAAGCGAGACAGGAAAACTGGAACTTTGCATATTAATGCAGCCGCCTTCGTGATAATTTTAGCTTATTCATTTCTCCTGGCCGTGTGCTTCGATTTGAATTGTTAATCCACTCGACCGTAAACTATTTTTTACGGAGTACTCTGCTATTCGTACGCGTTCGAGTTCTTAATTAAAGCCGAATACGTAATGAGAATTTTTCTTTCACAAATATCAAGATTGGATTCTTGAGTTTTTAAATTATCCACTTGAATAACGTTATTCGTACCGATAATGGAATGCTTTTTAATAACGTATGTATGCTGAATTACTAATTAATATAATATTAATCGTCGTTGTATTTCAACCTCGTGAAATGCTTTCAACAAAATGCGATTCTTTGGTGAAACATTTTGCCATAATAAAAATTTCTGGACATCTGAAATATTTTCTTTTTGCAAATGCAATATTTAAAAATTCTGAATGTTATATATATGCGTATTCATATTAATACATTTTTTGTAACGATGATTTCTTTATTCTTCTTGTTCCTTCGTAAGATTTGAAAAATCGAAACTAAAGAAAATAATGATTGAGATAAGAAAATATATCTCTTATAATGATATGTAACACGTTTTGTGAAATTTAAAGCAATTATATGACATGTTACACAAGTGTTATATCCCGTTGAATCCCTAGAATAACCCGCAACGAGCGCAGCTGATGTCAGTGACGCAGCCTGCTACTGAATGATTAAATTTGGCACAGTTACCTTCCATTCTGCTCAACGACGCACACGTTCCATGCGTTCACTCATTCTGAAACCGCGGGCATTGTGCCGCTCAAATTGGCACATCTCTGATACGAAAGTTCTGCAACATTTCATTGTTACTTGGGTTGTGCCAACGAGCGCTTTTCCGCGATACACCACTCGCGCGACAGCTTAGGGAAAGACGTTTTTAGACGTTCCATCATTTCAATTGGACGAAAGCGTCTTTGCTCCGCTTACAAATTTAGGTTTGAGAACACTGAGAATTTGTTTCTCTTATTGATATACGAATTACAAGTACACACTATACGTAAAATATTTCTAACAAAAAAAAAAGAAATAGTATAAATATTCACTAAAATATTATATATAATATCTGTAGTTTTAATCATTAAAAAATTTTAAAGTCGTTGATACTTTAAAGTTCTGTTGAAAGAAAATTAGTTCTAGATTAATTTCATTCATAAATGAAAGGAACTGCCTGAAGAACTTGGAATACTTCGACTCTAGATGTTCTTACGTAGCTAACTTTTATTGATTCTTAGTTGCTCAATAAAGAACTCAATACAATGACAATTTCAAAAATGATTAATCTCATGATGATCTCTTTGCAAAAAAATTTTATCAAATAATCTTGCTCTTGAAAGTATACGAAGAATATAAAGAAATGAATAGAATAAGACGTGACCTTCCTCATGAGAATGTTTGAGTCTAGAAGTCGGGAAAAATGCATTTTGCTTGAGTGGATGAAGATTGTAGTAATTAACGGGAAAAATGGCTTTGAAGAAATAAAAAGGTAATCATATTTGCAGATTTTTTAATGCAAGCTTTTATCATAAAGCGACTCAGCAATTGACCTACAATATAAGTATCTTTATCCGCGCAATTGTCATTATTTCATAAAAATTGTCGACGACTTATGATTATAATAAGACATTATTTAATTTTCGTAAACCAAATTAATTGTTAAATTAATGAAAATATATTATTTTGTTTCGCAAAACATATTTATGTGTTACATATCATTGTATTTTCGTTTTGTTTGTGCGCAACAATGAAAACACCAATCAGCAAAATTAAAAACTTTTTAATACCGCTCTTAAATTTCATTGAATAAAACACTTCAATGAATTTTCACAGAATTCAATTAATTAATCAATTAATTAAATTCTGCAAAAAAGCGTAAAATACGATATTTTTTACATATTTTTACGCGTAAGTTGAATTTAAAAGAGCAACATATCTCTTGCAAAAGAAATTTTTATGTCAAGAGGAAAGATACATTATATATTTACCCAATTATTTTAGAGAATGTAATATTACGTCGACGACACGACGACGATCACGACGATTATGAGATTTGTACAGAGACAAGGACAGCGGTTGAGAGCACGATAATTTTAGCGCGACGTATCAATGGCTTCCTTGAGTGTTGCCGTTCGGAATGGCAACCTTGTTCGGATATCTTCCGTAGACCCGGCCGCTTCTGGTGACTCTATAGTGAATCTGCGGCACGGTTTGGATCATGGATAGCGCGCTGGACATGTGCGGACCGTCGCCTGTGCACAGCCGTTTCGCCCGACGTATGCTGATGGTTTTGTGCTTGTGCAGTTGCGCCAGACTGTGTCGTTTTTGTTGCTTCAAAATCATCGCGGACGGTATTTTCTGATTGATCGTCAAGCCGGCGATGCGCCTTCTCAGCAACCTCAAAGGCGAGGCCGCCAGAATCGCCCTGGTGATGCGACTTCGCCAACGCCACAAGAAAACGGCCGTCGCGAACCAGGCGAACCACGGACGAGCTTTGGGATCCGGAGCTGGCTGCTTCGACCAGAGAAATAACATCTGAGAACAAGTATATGAATGTTTAATAGACTCTTTGATATTGAGAAGAAATCAAAGAGGAAAATCGGCACAGCGCAATATGCTTTTAAAGCACATCGACGAAATAAATTGTTGTAAAATCAAAATTGCATCACTAACGATATTATTTTACAATAACTGGCAATTTCTTTATATTAATTGTGATGTGACATTTTGCCTAGGTATAAAATTTAACGAGCACGTTAAATGCTTTAAGCCTGTAAAAGTTGTTAAGGTGATCTTTTCATGGTGAATCGATTTGACCTTTTACATAAAGGACAAAATGGTATCTTTCATTAAACGATAGGAATCAGTGTAAATTTGGAGCGCAAGTTACGATGACGACCGACACGTGATATCATAATGGTAATTAAGGTCATGGATTATTTTAAAAGATAACAAAGAGAGCTAACGAATGGATGAATATATTGCTAATTGAAACGATAGGATATGTTCCGGCTAATATCTTTTTAATTGAATTAATGTATAAGATTTTTCAGTAATACCGATAAATGTATTTATATTTGCTGAGAGAATATGTTTCGTATTATTATTTTATATTAATTCGATATTTTTTAATTTGAGATTAATCAACAAAATTCCAAAGAGGTCCATAAAACTTGGCATGTTAAAAATCAATTATTATGATGTATTTTTATATATTAAAAGAGATCAGTCTATCGAAAAGTATCAAAATTAATTTAAAAATATATCACGACGGATATTGTCAATTTATTAATAATAAAACAAATTTGATGTTGATTCGAGCTATAAATATATCATCGCGAATTTCCTCATAGAATCATGTGATAGAGAAAAAGGTCGAAGCAAGTGATTGTTAAAATAATGTCGCGGTGTTTGAAGCCGACAGGTGATTTGTACGACCTCTCACTGACATTGGTTTCAAGATCGCACAAGAAACCATCGTGCAGCCGGACGATCGATTTCACGGCCGTCGTAGCTTTTCAAGGCTGTGCACCTTGAGATCCACGTGTGGATCCCAGGTAATTCGCTTAGAGCCCCTACGTCTCAAACACGTTCACTCGTGTTGGGCAGCGTTTCGACTTTTATGGCTCCGCGACATCTCCGTCGTCGTCGTAACCTTCACTCTTTCTTCTCTCTCTCTCTCTCTCTC